CAGAAACTGTGTTAAGCACATGACGCCAGCAAGCAAAGTAGAAAGAGCCCTGGGTCCAGCCTTAGCTCTGTCACTGCTTAGCTTTGTGACTAGGAACAAGCCATGTAGTCTCTTGGTACCTCAGTTTCCCCTTCTACAAAATGAAGGCTCAAATACTTGTGCCGCCTCCTGCAGGCTGAATCTTCTGCTGGAGGCACAGCCTGCTCCGTGATTCATGTGGTGAGCTGTGAGGAAGCATTCCAGCAGCAAAAGGTAGACCTGCTGTGGCGACTGGTGGATGCCAATGCCCCTTCCAGGCAGGTTAGTAATAGACTGGAGGGAATTTGTCATTTCCTCACCTTGACCACCTGTGGAACTCACAGATTTACCTCTCCACCTTTGCAGATCCACCCATACTGATCTTTGATTGGATAGATGTGTTCTCCTGCCTTTTCAGGGCATGACTCACTGTATCTTTCTTGCCCTGGTGTCAGAGGCTATGTGTCCCCCTCTGTGTCATCAGACCTTAAATCCTCAGAAGGACAGGACTGGATCCTTTTTGTATGGAACCTCAGATGGTCCATAAGTGGCCCATATCTCACCAGGATTTGGGATGATACGATGATGTTAGCTCATAAGTCATTGTTGATTTCCTGTGATCTGTCTTGCCATGGATACAGAAATGTTCTGATCTCTAATATCCGTGCCTGGGGAAATCACAGTCCAAGTGTTAAATTTGATGAAATAGAGAACGGAGCAGGGTATGATAAGAGGTTAAGTATTTGGATTAGTGTGAGCTGGTGTCGTCACCTACTTACCTGGAGGACCTGGGCCAGGAGGCAGAGCAGAGAAGGCATTCTGGGCAGGGGAACGTCTGGTGTGATAAAAGCTGGAGTAAGTCTGTGTCCTGAAGGGAGCCTGAAGAAGCTATCCTGGCTGACAAGTGGGAAGTGTATTTGGAGAGGGAAGATGAAAGGAGGTTGGTGAGGGTTCTGAACCCCAAGTCTTTCTATGGTAAAAACAGGGAGTCCTAGAAGGCTGTCGATGAGGGAAATGTGATGCTCAAAGCTGTGCCTTAGGAAGACATTGGCCCCTGGACAAGATTTTTCTGTATCATCTGTCCTGTTTAGAGCATGAGGAAAGCAGGGACCGTCTGGCTTCTTATCTTCCCATGCCCACCTCTTAGCACAGTGCGTGGCACCTAGTACATTCTTTCTAACTGTTTTCACTTTTTTTTCCACAGATAAATTGTGGGTAGGATAATGATCAGAGACATGAGGGGCGGGTGATGAGTCAGGGTGCTATTAGAGACAGCCAGATTGGGTAAGTGAAGAGGTTGAGGCTAGGATGGGGTGGTGATGGAGGACTGAGGGCCAAAGGCACTAGGTAGAACTGACGGGCCTTGTGATTGACTATAGATTCCTGCCTGGGACATGGCCCCTAGTGGTAGGCTGCAAGCTGAGCAGTTAGGGTTGTGGAAGAGCTATCTCCAGGCCAATCTGGGGACTCTGCCATGTGATTCCCCCTCTTTCAGAAGCACCTTGTCTGTGGACCAGTGAAAGTTGTGGGCTCCCCTACCCCACTGAGTGCTCCCCAGTACTACAGGTGAGTAGGCATGGAGCAGCTGAGGTCTAGATCACTTTCTGAGGATGACCTTGTGGTGGGCACCATTGGGAAGGGGCAGACACGGCTGGGGTTGGAAAGTTAGCTGGCTAGCCCCATGGAGGAAAGAACGGGGCAAGATAGATAAGGCAGGGAGCCTTCCTTGGGTGGCTCAGGCCGAGGGGACAACTGCATCTTATTTTCCAATGGGCTGTTTGTGACAGGCTCCGGCAGTCCCAGATGCGTGAGGCCTCAGTGCTGAAGTATGGAGTTGACTTTGTTCAGGGTAATGCTTCGTCGGTGTGGGAGCCAGAGCCCTAGGGGATCATCCTCCCTCGTCCCTGGGGCTTGTGGCTCTTTCCCTGCCGGAGGATGGAAGGTGGGAATTGGTGGGGCCTTTCCTGTTTCTTAGCAGTGTCTGAGCTAGTAATCTGTGAATTAAATGAGGGCTGGATGATACCAAAAAAACCCTTTCTGTTTGGCTGTGGAATGCATTGTCTTTTTTCCCCCAACAAATTTATTTTCATTATCATGTTTTGCCTCCTGTGCCCCTTACTGAGCTGGGGATTAGAGAGATAACAGAGAGCACCATCTGGAAGGAGAGCCAAACATTCCCCTTAGACTGATCTGTCATGGATCCTTCACCCTATGTAGATGACAGCTGGAATGAAATAATTGGGGCTCTTACTTCTGCTGCGGTCAAGTTTGAAATGCTAAGCACAGCCCATCGAAGTCAGGTGAGACCATTCCTTCAAGATGGGGAAACGATGCCTTTGAAAAGGGATGCCTGGAGTGTTCCTGGCCAGAATGGGGAGGAAGCTGTGGCGTGGTAGAAATAAGGACCTGAAAAGGAGCCTGAGAATCATAGGGGAGACACAAGTTATAGTCCTGCCCGCTGGCAAGTCACTTCTCTGGGTCTGAATTTTCTCCTCGGCAAGATGAGGGCCTTGGACTAAGGGGTCTTGTCTTCAGCTTGAAACCCCCGATTCTAGATGTGGCTTCTGCCACCGGGGGGGGGGAGGGGGCGCGGGGCTGATTCCAGACCCGAGAGCTCTGGGGGCTCAGAGACTGTCATGTTGCTGACAGATGTCTTTGGACCTAGAGCACACCAGCATCTCTACCAAAGGCACCAAGAGTGGAGCTTTTGTCATGTACAACTGTGCCCGCCTTGCCACACTGTTTGACGGCTATCAGCGGGGTGTGGAACAAGGTAGGTTATAGAGACAAGGGCCTCCCTCAGCCTGGGTTGGTTAGATCCCCTCAGGGGCAGCAGAAATCAGAAGTCTTCTGTTTGCCTCTCTGTGCCTAAACTCCACAATGTCTTTGGAGCCGCTACTAACAGCCCACTCCTCTGACTCATCTGGATGGTCAAGGGTGTTTATGGCAGGCCCCTACAGCTTTCTCGTTTTTAGGTTTGTATCCTGCTTTCCCTGACGTGTCTGAATTGGACTTCTCCTTGCTTCGTGATGAGGTGAGTGACCAGGACGAGATGGGGATTGGGATAGCTAGCAAAGTTCCTGTTTGCAGGGCCTGGTTCTGGGCCACGTTTCCTATTCTCAGACAGTCACTCAGTGGTTGGGACATAAGGCACTCACATGAAAACATCAAGTATGTACAAAGCTACCTATGAGCTTGTGAAGAAAGACAAAGACGTGGAACTCTTGGGTAGACCTGACTGAAGCCTCCTTAGTTCATTCTTCAAGGTTCTAGAAACGATATTCCCACACTCTGACAGTCTAGTTGCCCTGACTAAACTTTGTCCATCAGATGTCAGACCAAGCTTTCTGCAAGTCCTGGGCCCCAGGGGATGAGCTAAGTGGGTTTGGTCCAGAGGAGCAAGGCTGGACCAGTTGATGGCATCTCCAGTAAATGAAGGACTGTCTCTGTACAGGGTGAATGGCTTCTGCTTTTCAATGGCATCATCCCCTTTCCTGAGGTCCTTAGCCAGTCAGCACAGCTTCATGTCTCGAGCCCAGGAATCCAGATAACAGCCAACACCAAGGCGGTATAGCACTCCGTGCCCATTGGGAGGTGGGAGGGAGTGTGTGTGTCGGGGGTGGCAGGTACTCTTGGGCATGAGCCTGCTTTGTCAGGAAACAAAGATGCACAGACTGCCCCCTCTCTGTGCCAAGGAATAGAAGGCCTTTGGGAAGATTAATAAAAACATACAGTCCTTCAGCTCTCCACACAGACTGGCACAAGAGGTGGTTTAGTGCTTAGGGGTAGTTCTTGAAAGTAGGAATTTAGCCAGATGCCTAGACAAATTATACTGGGATCATAAGGTCTTGACCTAATGGCCAAGGCAAAAATCAATTTTCTCGCCTTCCTACTCCCCCTTCCCCCTTGGCCTTGTCCCAAAAGTCTAAGGATTTCTTTTGCAGGGGAGGTACAAGGTGAGCCTTGTGCTTTCACTTCTTACTCTAACCCTCTGTATATGGGTGAGACTGAGGGATATCAACTTCTCTTCCCAGGTGTGCAAGTTTCTGGTGCATTTGAGCATGGACTTTAGCTCCTACTATAACCGAGTGCATATACTTGGGGTGAGTTCATTTCTGACCTGCTCTGGGGCCAGGACAGCTGGAGGGGTTCACTGAGGTTTTCTTAGGGAGGAGTAGGCTGCTCTAGTGGTGGCAAAAGGGAGAGAAGTAGTGACCTAGCCCTGATGGTGTGGAATGGCCTCCTTTCCCGGCAGGAACCACAACCTCATCTGTTTGGCCAGATGTTTGCTCGGTTACAGCTAATGCGGGCTGTTCAGGAGGTTTTTCACAGCGCACTGGCCACTCTGCATCTTCCCCCACTGAGCCAGATCTGAGAGCACCGTTCTGTCCTCCAAGGACCTTCCAGATGTGCCATTTACCACTCGCCTCCAGGGCACTGGACTCTCCTCTGCTTCCATGGTCTCAGGGCATCGTTACAAAAATTGGCAAGGCAGGTGCTTGGCTGTGGTGACTGCCAACTGTTTACTTGGTTAAAATGGTATATTTTGGACAAAAATATCCCCCACTAACACAGCCTTCAGCACCGTCCAGGTGCCCCATTTCATATGCTGGGCAGCAGTCACTGCTCTTCCCCAAGACAGTTTATCATCACTTTGATTTACTAACAAACAAGGAGAAACCCTTCTAGTACCATCAGGGCCCCAAAAGCCCCTGGACTGCTGGCAGAAGCTGGCAGCAAATTAATATTTCTAGCTAAATAAAGTGCTCTGCTGGTTACGAGGCGGGCATCTTGGGTTTCTGCTCAGGAGGAACAACAGCCGAGTTGGAATTTTAATCTTAACCTCTAAATCCATTCTTCACCTCCTACCCCAGTCTCATCAAGCACAGACATGAGCACAGAGGTGGAGCAAGGGAGTGTATAGGGATTATGAGGGAACCCTTCACTCCTGCTGTCATTACAGTACCCACATAGATGCAGTGTGAGACACCAGTAGTAATTCAATTTAGTAAGCTTTAACAGGTGCACAAGTCAGTGTACTGGGTGCTGGGAGTACGAAGACAAAATCGTCCTTGTCCTTAAAAGAGCTTACAGTTCTGCTTACAAGAGATAAGGATGGACAAAAGAATTTGGCATCACAGATAGAGGCAAGCCCAAGGTTTGTTCTCCTGATGTGGGGGGCTGGAGGATGGAGGGGAATATACTTCCAAGTCTCCCTTTCTCCTCCAGCGGTCTCTCTCAGCAACCATCTTTTAAGTCACCTTACTGGAGAGACTGTGGCTAAAGCTGTGCCTTCAGGGTTTCCTGATTTAACAATTCATATCCAATTTTCATCTATAGCCCCTATCACCTTACTCGTGCCTGCCAAAGTTCTCTCCCAGCCCTGGCCTTTTTCATTTCCCAACTCAACTGTGCAATCAGCGCTTGTGGGAGAAAGCCAGGAGAGCACTTTTCTAAATGGACACTCACTGGGGGAGGTAGGTGCACATTCTGGAAGACTCCTACATTTCCTTCACACTGGCTCTCCAGGACAGCAGCAGGCTCATCAAAAATATTCAGGGGTAGCTATCCTCTCTAAGTCACAGCCAATGAGCCGACATCCACCTCGTCCTTGTGGCCCCTGAATTTACTGTAGACCTGGTTGCAGTACCTGGCCCCATGGCTCTTTACCGTGGGTGTTTGAGTCCAGTGATCTGGTGGTTCACCCATAGTCTGGCTAGTCCAAACACATCCTACCAGGAGTCAGGGGCAATGAATGGAGGATCAAAGGATGGCAATTCCTGCTCACCCATCTGGCACAGAATTCTGAATAATCAAGCCTGTCTGCATGAAAAAGAAAGGGCAGCTGAGCGTGGGGCTCTCAGGCTGGGCACCGGACGATACAGTGAAGGGGGAGTGTGAGGATCTTCTTTGGTGAGGTAAGCCCAGAGATATCCCAAAGACAGCAGTCCTGTGGAAGAAACAATGAAACAAATAGGAAGAAACCTTTCAGAGCTCTAAAAACTCATCACTCATTTGGCCTCAATAGGCCCCATGTGCTCTGAAAACACTTCTGGACCACAGATCAGCAGGTGTGGGAAGTAAATCAATGCAAAACCCATCCACCACCTCCCTGTGGTCTCCTCCTGCTTTGGGGCCAAACGGGGCCAGAATAGGTCTCCATGCTTTCAGCCTCCACTGCCCAGCCCCCACCCCCCCCACACACCATTTACAAGCAAGCTCCAATATACCAGTCCAGACTTACCTTATACTACCCCCTTCAGAGTTCCACTTAAAATGGACTACATCATTACCCATATCTTCAAATGATTTATCATCACCGTCAAGTGAAATTTCTCAGATACTAAGGATACTCTATAAAGCTTCCCTGACTTCCCCTCATGAAAGAAAGTTCCCGATGTCCTAATTTCTCCTAGCAGTCTGCCCAGATCACTGCCCTTATTTCCGTTTCTCCTGTCTGTGTTTTTGAAACTTTCCCCTGAAAAGACCAAAAGTTCTTTCAGAGCAAAGCTGGTGTTATCTATGTATCCCAAACCTCATGCACAGGGCTTGGCACGTAAATATCTGAATTCATTAATGAATGAAACTGAATTGAAAGTTGAAATGAAATGTATACAAGACATGGAACACTGGAATCCTAGGCCAAGCTGCACAGCCCATGAGGAATTCTCTATTGACCTTTGTCCAGAAAGAAGACACCCCAAAAAAGCAGAGAATGGAGCTGAGATCATTAGTAAGAAGCATGCTGCAGGGGCAGGTAGGTGGCTGGGTGGAAAGAGTACTGGCCCTGAAGTCAGGAGGACCCGAGTTCAAATCTGGCCTCAAACCAAACAGTTGACACTAGCTGGGCAAGTCACTTAACCCCAATTGCCTAAAAAAACAAAAAGAAGCATGCTGTGCTCATCTTAGCCAGTTGATTTTACCTGTGGGGATGTTAAGGCCATCAATTAACAAACATTAAGCACTATGTGGACGTGTTGGGGATGTAAGTACAAAGAATGAAGCAATAACTGCTTTAAATAAGGTTATGTTCTAATGGGGGGGCACATGCAGAATAATTAAATACAAAGTAGTTTGGGAAGAAGGCACACTTGGGGGAGGGTTGAAATCAGGAAAGGTTTCAAAGCTGGCCCTCCAAGGAAGGGGGGGGGGCTCTAGATACAAGAAGTGGGTACATTCTAGGCATGGGGTATATAGCCAGTGCAAAGTCCAATGGGCAACGGAGTGTCGTGAATGGGTAAAAGAAGGCCTGTTTGTCAGGATCACAATTATGAGTGGGAGAGTAACATCCAATGAGAGTGGAAAGGCAGGTTGGGCCAGGCTGGGTAGAGTTTAAAAGCTAAACAGAGTTTTTATTATATTAAGAACAGGTCTTAATCTGGAGTCTGTGACCTTGTTTAATATTTTGACAATTATTTCAACATAATTGGTTTCCTTTGTAATTTTATATATTTTATGACTTTAGAAACATTCCAAGAAAGGGTCCATGACACAACAAAAGGTTAAGAACTGGTTTTAGAGAAAACAGGAAGGCACTGGAATTGGCAGAGTGGAGAAATCACGTGGGCAGGCCTGTACTTAAGGAAAATTGCTTTGGCTTCAGTGTTATGTGCTGGAGTGGTGGAAGACCTGAAGCAGGGACACCAACTTGAAGTCACTTGCAATAATGTAGGCTAAGAGTGATCTGGACCCAAGTGAAGATGGTAGCTGTGGGAATGGAGAAAAGGGGTCACACTGAAGAAATGTTTTGACAGTAAGAACAAGATGTGGCACCTAACTGGATATGTGAAGTGAGGGACACAATACCACCGGTTAGGAACCTGGGAGACTAGAAAGACGGTGGTGCTTTTCACAAAAATATAGAATCTTGGAAGAGGTGAACATTGGGGGCAGGGAGAAAGAGTTCACCTTTAGACATATTGAGGTGCCTCTGGGATATCTGGTTTGAAATGTTCAAGAGGCAAGTGGTGATGCTGGATTAAAAGCACAGAGCAGGGCTAGAGGTAGAGATCTGGGAGTCACCTGCACAGAGATGAGAGTTAAATCCATGGTAGCTGATGAGGTTCCCCAGAGACAGAGCAGGGTCTAGGACAGAACCCTGGGGATCCCCACAGTTGGAGGTGTGATGTGGATGAGGAGCCTGGGAAGGAGCAGTCATTCAGGAGGTGAACCAGTAAAGTAGTGTCATGAAAGCCCAGAAAGAAGAGTTTCCAGAATAAAGTGGTCAATAGTCTCAAATTAAGTAGCTAAATCAAGAAAGATTAAGACTGATAAAGGACAGCAAATTAAGAGTTCTTCCTCTTTGGAGAGAGCCGTTTCAGTTGAGTGATGATGTTGAAAGTCAGAAAATAACGGGCTGAAGAGAGGAGGGACCATGGGACTCAGAAAAACACAGAAACCTCAGAGGGTACAAGGACTGTGGAGGTTGGGCACTATTATACCCAAGGTTCAAGCCACCCACACAAAGGACAAGAGAAAAGTCTACGTTACATCAAGAAAGATCAGAAAGCACCCGGGGGAGGAGGGAGATTGTAATGCAAAATGAAGGTCAAAGGAAAGGCAAGTAATCTTGTGCAAGAATATGGAAGGTGACAGGGTAGTGAGACAGCTGGGAGAAAACCCATAATTTCTGATGTCCAGTGACAGATGGGGTAAGCCAGCCTCAGCTTTCCTCATCAATGACACAAGGATGTGGAGGGCATTTTGACCCCTACACATTTTACATTTCTTTTAATAGTCCATCTAACTCATTCTATGGCAGAAGCCAGCTGTAGTTGGCCTTGGAGCCAGAAGCAGCCTGGGGTCACATCCCAGCTCACACTCAGACACTCTGGGCAAGTCACTTCATTTTTTAATTTGTTTCCTCAGCTACAAAATAAGAGACGTGTTCTTTGGACTCCCTAATTCACAAGTCACTGTGGGGAAAATGCTTTGTAAACCTTAAAGTGATATAGAAATGTGAACCTCTTTCTGGAGGATACTTTTGTGATCCAGGAAATTTCCCAAACCCTCCCTGCGCTCATTTAAACATGAAAGAACAGTATAACTCAGGATTTTAATCTCATTGTGTAAAGCACCTTCACTACAGAAACTCAACATTCCTAAGATGAAATCAATTTTGAAACTTCCTTTTCCCCAGCACAGCACCCTCTCTAGCCCAGAGCCTGCCCAGCCTCTGATTGGAGAGGCTGAACGTTGAAAAGCTCCTCCCAGAGCCTCCACATTAATGCTGACTGACTCTGACACCCTAAGACCCAGGACTGTAGGAACATATTTGTTCACTGGAGTGTTTATCTTTCTAGACAGGAGGTCCTGGCCTTGCAGCCATGGAGAATACAGCCTACTATGTCCTCTCAGATCCACTCTTCCTTACCTTATGTTCCAACATCCTCAAAATCTTTTGTTCTCTCCATGAAATAAGGTTTCTTAGGTGCCAACATCACTCGTAGCTTTTTTATTCCTTCCCTGAACAGGATCAAGTATTTGACAGACTGCCTGAAGCAGGGACAGAACCAGGGCTGGGATTGCCAGGGACAAAGTCTCCATGATGTCCAGCTGTAGGGTGGATTTTCTGGCTGTTCCCAGGGTACTGCTCACCCTGTCCAGTGGATGATCTCCAAGCCCTGTCCAGAGAGGACACAGTGATAGCCTTTGCCTGACTTGCTGGTCCAGCAATCAATTTCAGACACATCAGCCACGTGGCAGATTCTGCTGTTCACAAAAGCTAGGCCTGTAGGTCCCAGGCTCCAGAATGTCAGGCGCTGGTCAGTGGAGGCAGAGACCAAGAGGTCTGGTCTCAGGACCCTTAGTCCTGTCACATGGGCAGTGTGAGCAGAAACCACAGAAAACTTCTGTATCACATGCACACAGGTCTTTGGAGTGAGCTTCCTGTCCTCTTGTGATGAGGCCTGTGGAATTAGGGGCATTTCAACAGCAACCAGGCATACGTGGATGGACCCATCATCACTGCCACTGGCCACAAGATACTGCCCTGCACAAGTCTCTCTAATGTGGAGACTGTTCACCCCACAGCTGTGTGCCTGGATAGTCAGACAGGGGCATCCTAGATCTAGAAAAGGCAAAAAGCCCCATCAAAGATTAATGAACCTATTCAGAAGGAAAAGAAAGAGAATTTGAGTTGAGAAAATCTTGAATGAGGTAAATAGAGCGACACTTACCACAAGGCAGCTGCATTCTTCCTGGTGATTTTATGACCATAAGGGCATGATCTAAGGTAGCAGTGATGTCCCAGAATGCAATGCTTCCATCCGTGGCAGCACTACACAGGACCACACAACTGTGAAGGGCGAAGCATTTTCAGATGCTGCTGGATAAAGGTGGCCCAGCTGCCTCACATGATGCCTTTCAGGGCATCAAGAAGGGAACTCTGCCCTTGTCACCCACTATTTTTAGCACAAGCTTTTCCTGCTAAGTTTCATGAGCTTGTGGTGGAGAAATCCCATAGGACTACAGTTACTGCTGGTCTTCTTGTCTGGCCCAACCCCTACCCTAATAACAGAATGCATACTAGAATTTCCAAACTTGGCAGTCAGAGATCCAGGGGCTATTAAGAGACCAATGAAGAACTGGCTCACTGAGCTGACTGAACTCTGAAGTAAGCACACATCTGCATACCACAAACTCCAACGTGTTCTTCCTCATCCTTCTCTCCCTCCCACCCCTGTATGTCTTTCTCACCTCTAAAATCCCAAGGCTTTCCACATCTTTGTTGGATAATGTAGCTTTGACTGTTCAGGCCAAATGTTCAGGATGTTATATGGCACAGGGTCTTGAAGCAATTTCCCCACAGAGGCCCAGGCCTAACTCACCTTGCTCCAGTCTCTGCCTCATAAGTCACTGTCTGGATCCTCAGGACACAGCGCTGATGGTAAAAGGACTCCGCTAAGAGCTGTAGTTTCCGAGCTGATTCATCCACGAGAAAGAGCCTTAGAGAAAAGAACAAGAGGAAAGCAAGACTATATAGTCATCTCTCAATGGTGCAGCAACAATGATGTTTATACTCAAATGATTTTCTATATGATTCTGGAATTCACTGCATCTTCTCACGTTTGAGGAGAGTTGCAAATATCGAGCTTCTGACACTTCCCTTGCTCACGTAAGGTCACTTAACCTTGCCAAGCTTCATTTTCCTGCTCTGTAAAATGGAAAATACATGCCTACATGACAGCTGCCTGCCAGGGTTTTATTCTCTTTCCTTCTCATGCTTTGCTCAGTATGATGTGATACTACAATGAATCGTCCCCACTGGGCAGTGTGGAAAAACCAGCCTAGTGTCTTTAATCCGCCTAAATGATAACTGACGTGCAGGTAACTGAGAATGAATTGCATTTTCTGGATGGTAGTCTCATTCAGGAGTATTCAGGACCAGACTGTGTGAAAGGTCTGTCATTTATGTGACTTGCTCTTTCTTTCCCTGTGCTGTCCCTGTTCCCATCTCCATCTCCCCTCAGGCTTCTCTAATGTTCCCACAAAGAACCAGCAACTCCAGAGGATGTTGTCACAAGAACAGAATGTGCTACTCACCTCACAGATCCATCACTACAGGCTGCAGCCAGGACAAGGCCAAGACTAGACTGCTGAGCACTGGTCACCACAACAATGGACATGTACCTGAGATCAGAAACAGACTCAGGCTATACTAAACTCCTCTCTAGTCACTTAGGTACAATGAAAGCTTTGGCATGGCTCAATGGAGCAGCAATCCAGCTCAGAAACATTAGCCCCATGACTGCTGCTCAAAAAAAACTTTGTTAAATGTTAGATTTTTTTCCCCCCTATCCAATTTTATCTCAACCTCCTAACAGAACAGAGACATGGGACTCTCTGCTCATGAGATCAGGAGTTCCCAGGGAGGGACCCTTGGGGATATACTTGACTCATCCCCTACCCCCCTTCCTGATCCCAGCCAACTGCCAAGTCCTGTTGATTCTACAATTTTACCTCCTCAACATCTCTCTCATCCATCCTTTCTCCTTTCCCTCTTACTGCCACCATCCTAGCTTATGTTCTTACTATCTCATGCATGTACCCTTAGACATTTGTACTGATGTTTCTTTTTCACATTATCTTCTTTTCCAAACATAGTCCCTTTCACCCTCCCACAATCAGAGAAACAACCCTTGTTGCGTAGAATAAAAAGAAAAAAAAAAGCCTCTGCCCCTCCACCTAGAATATCACCTTCTCCATTAAGCTCCCCCCACCCCCACCTCCTCTTAGTCCCCAGGGCGCGCTATACAACGTTAATGGTTTTGTATTGGTATTAATTATCCAAATCTTTTCTCCTCAAGCAGGGATATATATTTTGCATCCCCCCCAAGAACCTAGGCCAGAGCTATGCATGCAGCAGGGGTATGTAGTAAGTACATGCTGAATGAAAAGAAGACCTCATTAAACCAGGATTTCCTCCAAAAGGCCAAGGGCTAGCCTTCTGCCATCAGCAATGTCCAGTCGTTTCCTTAGGCTGGTGACCATACTTCCTACCAAGCTCCCCACTCATGAGTCAATACAGCTTATGAAGGTTACCTGGTTTCAGGATCCATCTTGATGACCTTGTGCTTGTTCTTCTGGCGGTCCCAGAGCTCATCTAGCCGGTGAGAAATCAGATGAGTGACCTGGCAGGTAAGTCCTGCCTGGGCGCTGAGGTCTGCAGTGACCAGGAGTTGATAGCATTGCATCTCAGCCCTACCGCCGGCAGAGAAAAGGAGGCTTTGGAGTCTTGCCTGTGGCTCTCCTCCATTAGTATTTGCCCCACACAGTGTCAGGGTCCGAACACTGGAGATGTGGTTATTGATGGTAGCAAGCAAAAAGACTGTGGAGGAAACAGCTACAAAAGCTAAGATGTTCACGGTTGTGTCTTCACTGCTTGTGACCAGGATGTCTATGGTGTTGTCCCCCTCCTGAGTCCTCACAGCTCCAACATGCCTCACACAGGTGAGTTCTCGGCCATGCAGGGACTCCTTCAGGACTGCTTGGTAACAGCTGCCCTCCTCCTGAGCCTGATACACCATGACATCTCCAGCCTTGATGCAGGCAAAGACCATGGTGGCTGAAGTTCGGGCATAGCCCCAGGAGCGGTGGCCTCCACCACAGGGCACTATGTGAAGTTTCTCATGGGTCCTTGGGCTCCAGACTACAAAGTCAGTCGAATGGAAGCCAAGGACAAGTAGGTTTCCATCACTGGCAAAGCTGAGCCCAGCCACCCAGTCCATGCCTTTGCAAGGTTTTTGTTTCCATAGTGGCTGGAGCCGTTTGCCCTGCACACAGAGCTGCTGGAAGGAGCCATCCCTGCCTGTACTGTAAACATAACCCCTGTGGAAGGTCACTGATGTAACACCCTGCTTCCCATGAATCCCAAACAGAAGGTCAACGGGGGCCCCCTCCTCAGGGGTGAGAGAATGATCGGACCCATGATCCTTATCACTGTCAGCACTGCTGCTGCTCTCCCTTCCTCCCATCTCTTCCCCACTTGGTTCAGCAGTGGCTGCTCCACAGGGAAACAACAGCAGAGAGCCCCGGCGGTCACCACACACGAGAAAGTCCCCTTGGGGTAAGAAGGTGAGGCAGGTATGCCATCTTTGTTTGCAGAGGGGCAGGATATAGCGACGTTGCTCCACCACCTTGTCCACCCTTCCTAAAGGGCAGAACGAGACGTCTAACCACAATAAGACACCCTCTGGGCCAGAAGCAAAAAGAGCACAGCACAAATCATTCCTCCCTGGATCCCAGGGCTGGCGTGGGACCCAGCTCAGGCCGTGAACTTTCCCCTTATAAATCTTCAGTTCCTTTGCCTCTTGTGGGTAGTGGAGGGGAAATATTTTAATGTGACCCTCTAGGTTCCCTAGTGCACATATCACACTGCCACCAGGAAGCTGAACTGCATCCAGCAAATTGTAAGACTGGTAATTGATATCATCCAAGATGAACTTCCACTGTTTAACTGTCAAGTCATAAAGATAAATGGCTCCAACATCAGTCATCACGAGAAGCCATGAAGGACTGACTAAAGTTAAGGCTTTTGGAGATCCCTTCTTTGTAAATGAGCCAAAGCTGAGTGGTAAGAGACTGCTGCCCAGAAGCTTGTTCCCTTTAAGGGGCCAAAGTCTAATGCCAGAATCAGCTCCGCCTGTGACCACCCAGGCCTGTGTTTTGTGGACAGCCACAGCTCTGATGCTACGACCTTTGTGTCCTTTAAAGGTCTGAACTATTTCACCAATGTAATTCCATACAATGCAAGCAGAATCCTCTCCAATGCTAATGATATAGTTGTCTAGGAGCTGGACAGACCACACCCTGGACTGGTGACCATAGCACACCAGGATACACTGCACTAAGTTGTGAGGGACCCTCAGGTCCCCCACTCTCCAGACCCGAATACTCCGGTCATCAGAGGCTGAGGCCAAAAGGCCTTTGCTCTCCATGTAGCAGATACTGAAGATGACCCCACTGTGCCCACTTATCCTTCTTTCTACTTTGACTCTTCTTTTCTCACTGGTGAAATCAGCTGGGTGCCAAATCACAAGCTGGTTAAAGACAGTCCCAGCCACCAGCACCAGCTCCTGCCAGTCCTTCCCCACCAAGCAAGCAGAATAGATAATACACATCTCATCACACTGTACTTCTTGCAAGACCTGCTGACGGATGTGGTCATAGAGGACCACTGAGTTATGTCCCAGGGCCAGGGCCAGAGCAGAAGAGGCTTTTCCAGGGCCCTGGACCCAGTGAAGATCCCAGATCCAGTCATGAAGCTCACAAAGCTGGGACAGCCACGTCAGCTTCACTGCCTCCTCTCCCCAGCTCAATGTCAGCACACGGAGGCCTTTGCTTCCAAAGATAGCCAAGGTCGTCTCTGATGCCTGCGTAGATGCTGGGCTCTGAAGTTCCCTGATGCCATGGATGTAATAATGACAGAGGACACTCGGCACAAACTGGGTTACTACAAGCTGCCCGCCAGTTTCCAAGCAATAGATTAGTAGGTTAGGCCCTTCACCTGGACAGCAAAATAATAAAATAAAATCAAAGTTACCAACAGGTACATTCAGAATAAGATGAAGTCCCTATAAATATGACCTTGGAAGAAATGTGGGGCTCATCAAGCTCTATTATGGAACCATAGATTAGGAGCCAGAAGGGATGTCATTTTACGGGGCCCAGAGAGTCAAACTGATGTGCCCAAGATCATAAAGGTAAGTAGCAAGTGGCCCAGGGTTTTGAAATCGGGTCCTCGGACTCCAAAGCCACCCCTCCACACTGCCACTGGCCAAGAGCATCTAACCTCAATTCCCTTGCTGTCCTATGGCTGCTTATGCCTGGCCAAGGCCCACTCTTGGGTTACTCCCACCATCTGCCTCCTTCACTCCTTTTCACGTGCTCCTGAACAAAGGTGCTGATGAGGCCCACCACAAAATACATTCTCTAACCTTCATGGGCTCCTTCTCACCGAAGCAAGGCAGACACAAGGCTTCCCTTCTCCCTTCCTCATCTCATGTCAGTCAGACATCTCCATTTATTCCAGCCTCAGATGAAGAGGTGGCACTTCTCATTGCCAAGACAAACCCCTCTACAAGAGCCCTTGATCCCATTCTCTCCCTGTGACTTCTCCCCACTATCATTCCCAGTCCTTCTCCTCAAGCTTTCCATATCTACTGGTTCTTTGCCTGCTGCCTACAATCATGGCCACGTGTCCCTCAACCTTAAAAGAATACTTGATCCAACTATCCCCTCTACTTCTCATTTTACATACTTTCTTATCGAGAAAAGAGTCTACTATCAGTGCCTCTATTCACTCTCTTCTAGACCCTCAGCAAACTGACTTCTGACCTCATCATCCAACTGAAACCGCCTTTTCTACAGTTACTAATGATGTCGTGATTACCAAATGTAAAAGCCTTCTTCTCATCCACCAAGGTGATTCCTCTAACCACATCACCTCTCAATCAATAAGCATTTTTAAAGTGCCTACTGTGTGCTAGGCACTGTGCTAAGCACCGGGGATACAAAAAAGAGGTAAAAGACAGTCCCTGCCCTTAAGGAGCTTACAATCTAATGGCCTCTCTGCTCAATGAGCTCCTATTAGCTCCAGGATCAGCTATAAACTCCAAATGGCATTTAAACCTCCCTGGAATCTGGACCTTTCTTACTTATCCAGTCTTCTTACCTTTTATACCCCTTCCCACATACTCACCTACATTGGCCTACTTGCAGTTCTTTGAATATGGCACCCCAGATCTCTATGCCTTTGCATTTATTAGCTTTCTCCCAGGGTTGGAGGACTCTTGCCCTCTCACCTCTGCCTTAGTTTCCCTGGCTCCCTTCAAATATCAACTCAAATCTCACCTTTCCCAGTCTTCCTAGCTGCTTATGGGAGACTGTTTATCTTATATGCACCTAGTAATTTATGAGTTGTCTCCTTCTTTAGAATGTATACTCCCAGGCAGCTAGGCGGCAAAGTGGATAGAGCACTGCCCCTGGATTCAGGAGGACCTGAGTTCAAGCCTCAAACACCTAACACTTACTGTGTGACCCTGGGCAAGTCATTTAACCCCACTGCCTAGCAAAAAAAAAAAAAAAGGGGAAAAAAAAGAACATATACTCCTTCAAGGCAGTAACTGTTTTTTTTGCCTTTCTTTGCACCCCCAACATTCGTCAAGATGCCTGGCACAGAGTAAGTGGTCAATAAATGCTTGGTAACGACCTGTATTTGGTTGGTCTGGTATCTCTAATTTGTTCCACTAACCTACTTCTTTTGTGTGTTTGTGTGTGTGTGTGTTTGTGTGTGTGTGTGTGTGTGTGTAGCACCAATTTAAATAATCCCTTCATAAATAAATTTTAAAATCTATCATCGGTCATTCTTTTTTCAGCCTAAGTCTGCAGCTACAGACAATCAATCAATCCCGTAGTTGCTAGAGACCAGAGTAATCCACGGGCCTGGTAGCTACTCAACCCTGGAGCCACGGTAGTATGCAGACAGCCCAATACTTCAGAGAGCCAAGAACATCACAGATTCATGGTTACCCTGGTAGCTTTCACTAGTACAGTACAAAGTGGCCTTAGTGGCAGTTGGCCCTAAGACAGCTGGATTTTTACCACGGGCCTAACTATTTTCTGTTTCATTTTACCACCTACAGGGTTACAAATACCCCCTCCAGGAAGCTGCTTCGCCAAGTTCAGGGTTTAAAGGAAAGAGCACCACATATGGAATAAGAAACCACCTTGCTCTGCGACTAACTATTTGTGTGATCTTGAGCAAGTCACTTCCTCCTCCTCTAGAAAACGTACTAGATGATCTCTAAGGTCCTTTTTGGCTCTAAATGTTACTATCACTTTATGTACCAAGTAAACCGTCAGACCCACAAGCCAGGTTCCCCATGCACCCCGCCAACTAACTGTAAGAAGGGTCACAGCTTTCCCGTGCTGCCAGCTTCACCCAGGGTCTGTCCTGCATTTAAAAGATGACGGAAACCGAGCTCTGGGAAGGGAAATGACTTGTCCAAGGTCACACAGCAAGTCGGCAGCAGAGCTGGTTCTGTGGCTGCTTCTCTTGTGGGCCGGGACAGGCTATTCGGTTTCCCCTTGCCTACCTCTGTCTCTGACACTGGGTAAAACGTTGCCTCAGTTTCCTGTCCAGGAACCCGTTTCTAGCCTGACTCTAGAAAGCTTGGCCAAAGCCCCTCTCCAACCTTCCCCTCGGATCCCAGGCCTACCCACGGACAATCTGCTCCGACAGCCTCGAGGAGAAGCGACTCGGCCGAGGACAGTAAGCCGGGCTCCGCAGCGCAGCAAAGAGCAAGAAAGCCTCGGCTTCTCCCGGGCCCGCACCACCCGACACGAGCCAGGGTCGGAGGGGCCTAACTCCCGCGCCGGAGTCCCGGCCTTACCTGCTAGGACTCGGTCCCCCACACACTCCAGGGCGGTGACCGGCGCGAGCAGCAGCAGCGACTCTGCCTTCGCCGCCGGAGGCTCCATGGCCCGCGCGCCGACGGCTCGGAGGCCCGCGCGCAGACCGCACGCACACCGGCTCTCGACAGGGCGCCCTACTCGCGCGCACAGGCCCAAGGCGCCACCACAGCCAATGGGGTGGCCTGTTGCTGATCGCCTTCTAAGGTCGGCCGTCATTGGCCCGCTTTCATTTCAAGACCCCCCCCCCACCCCAGTCGCGCGAGTGATTGGAGCATTCAGTGGGAGGCCGTCCCCTGCCTGCCACGTGACTCCGGAACGTTGCGTACCGGCGGACTCGCCGCCCTACGGCTCTGGCCCCGTCTGCACCTCGTCCCCTCCCACAGCTAAGCGGCCCGTCGTCTTACGAGTCCCACACAAAGTCTGGGCCGCTTGAAGTCTTTCACTTTTTATTTGGCCGCTTTAGGACCTCGGGGGTCCGCACGCAATAGCACACAAAAGGAAGGGGCAGGAGGCGGAGGCGGGCCCACGACGGCCTGCAGGGATTTCCTGGGCTGGGAACTCCGAGGGTCCAGGCCGGACCAACAGCCCATGCCCATGGATTAGGGCAGTATTAGATGTGATGCCCCTGCCTTCGAGCCACACGAAGTCCATCCGACCGGGAATTCCCAGGGCTGGGAATCATGTCTCTCCTTCAAAAGGGGGTAGATCAAAAGACTGGAAACTCCAACCACAACCAAAAATAAGATAGACATCTTGACACTTTTTTTAAAAAGAGTTTTAAGTACCTTTACTTTAAAGTACTCCTTTCTCCCTTCCACAAAACTGCTCTCACTCAGCTCGAGTTGAGCCCTGCCAGTAGTGAAGATGGCGGTTGGCAGCAGTCTGGACTCAACCAGAGTGTGGTGCAAACGTGTCATTTCTGTCTTTGTGCCGTTCTTAATCATTTACAGTTTATGAGCTAACGCCCAGGCTTCCACAATTCGACTTGAGAGGAGCCTTTTTTGTGCTGACCAGCATTCTTGCAGGAGACGGCACAAGTAAAAGGTCTAAAGGATTTCTTGATTCTTCTCAGATGGGGCAATCCTAAGCTGCCCCTTCTTTCATAGGCTTATATCAACTATGGTCTTTTCCACTGCTGGTCAGTCACCACAAAACGTTCTCACAAGAGAGCGAGGAATCTATCTAGGTGGAGAAACAAAGAGAGGCCTCTTTGGTTTAGTTCTTCTGAAGGATTTGTAATGTGCATTTGTGTGTGTGAAGGGGGTTGAGAAGCAGAGGGAAAAAATACACTCACACCAGAATGAACCCCCGATTAGCTGCAGAAGTATTTGCATATATCAGTGTATGAGGCATGGCTGTACACAAGTCACCAATTGCATGTGTATGATAAGATATAACAGAGATAACAGAGAGATGGCAATGAAGCAAAAGGTGCAGTGAGTGTCCCAATTTAGGAAGGGTTACAGGCAAAGTGCATTTTCTGAAGAATTCTCCTAGTATGTAGCAAGCACCTCTGAGATTGCAAACAGGAAGTCGTTCTTCAGGAAGTGCCCCCAGGACCTACCTAGACTGTCAGTTCCCCACTGCTCACAAAGAATACAAGAGTTTAAATGAAAAAAAAAACAAAAACCACTTCATTCCACAAAATGGAACAAAATTGTTACTATTGCACTTTAAAAGTTTCCCTTTTTCCCCAATAATTTATACTTCGGCATGATTAAAGCCTATTGTCCCCTGAGAAGAAACCATTGCTACGTGCCCATATATGGTATCATTTCCCCACCCTGCTGTAGGTAAGGCTCCTGGTCCTGGCTCTGTCATCAAAACGCACTGTGACCTTGGGCAAGTCACTGCTTCCTTAGTCTTGCGCCTTCCTCTGTAAAATGAGAGGACCAGATGAACTGATTTCTAAGGTCCTGTTCAGCTCTGATGTGACTGTTTCTCTTCCACGTGAGCCCGGCCCAGGGTTGAACCCTGAGCATCAGGAAGTCTGGCCTGTGAATCAGAAGCATGCTGAGGCTTAACTGAGGGTGGCAGTATTCCTTGCAGTGGGAAGATCTGAACACCTACCTTGGCCCTGTCAGAATAGTGCAACAACAAAAACAAAAAGGAGAATTTCCCTCAGGCATCCAAGTTCCTAGGGAAACTTGGGAATTAGCCAGTATTCCCCCCAATCCCAACCCTGAGCTCTTAAGCACCAAATCAGCTTTCTTTCCTGGTGACAATGACATTTCTACAAATAACTTAAGGGCTTAAATTCTCCTCAACTACAGGGTGTGAAGGTGAGAACTAGACTCTGGCCTGTTTCCCTCCTTCCAGACACAGGAAGGACTTAAGCCAGACTTCAAACTTTCCCTTTCCTCCACCAGGAGGCTGCTGTCCTCCACATGAACTTCCCTCTTCCTCAGCCACAGCCTGGCCTGTACGAGGGAGCTACTAACTCCTGGAGGATTTCTATGGAGATGTGGGAACAAACAGCCACACCTCCAGGGCAGCCACCAGAAGCCCCACATACATACATGGGTTGAACTCACTCGGACTCCAAGTAAATCCCTTCTTTTCTGAAAATCCTTTCAGGCCCTTTTTTCCTGGAGAAATTCCACGGACACAGGGCAGTAGGGCTCCTCTGGGTGCTCATGGTGGCCCCACTTCCTCACCAATTCATCATTCTGACTACCCCAAGCCTGATACCTCAGACGTCATCTTAGAGCCTCATGAACGAGGGGAATGAGACCCCCCCCCAGGCGCCGGGGAGCCTTCCTGGCAGACAAGGCAAAGAACCATCAGCTTCCCGTTAAAGCAAACAGCGTGGAGGCTCCCACGAGTGTCACTGCAGAAGCTGCGCCAGGTCCGTCGGTGGCTGTCTCTGACCTCACGCCCACCATCAGAGCTCTACGTGCACATTCTTGTAGGACTTGTCCACTGTCCACTCAGTCTGGGCCTCCAGCTCCTCCTGGGCATAACGAGCCATCTCCTGATGGAACTGGATCTGGCGACTCTTGCTGGGGTCTACGTTGATCCAGTTGTTAGCTATCCATTTGGTTCCCTGGGTGACCAGACAGCCACCATGCAATGAATATTCATCCAATTCTCCTACCCAACCTACAGAAAGAGGGAGAAAGATTAAACAATAAGCCACCCACCAGAAAGAGCTTGGATAGGGAAGAGCTCATAACAGAGCCATCTCGAGAAAGGACTAGGATCCAGGCTTGTCTAGGCTCTGAAAGTGATTCTTCCATTTGCAAAAGAGATCTGGGCCATATACAACCTCAATTTTTGTCTCCAGCCCTGGTCTCCCTTCTGAGCTCCAAAACTCACACCTCCGACTTCCTAGCAGGACATCCTTCCCTGGATATCTCCACTGGTACCTCAAATTCAACATGCCCCAAACTGAGCTACTCTTTTCCTCTAAACTACCAGCTCCTACTGACCTGATCAAACTGTTCGGGGAAGCTCCACTCGGTCTCTCCTGTTCATACCCTTGGATTATCCTCTTCTGGTTCCTCTTCCTTGCTCCTTCCATATTCAATCAGTCTATGCCACCTTGACAGCATTCCTGGCCTCCATTCTATTGTACTTTTTATGAATTGACTTGCCCCATTTATAAACTCCTTGAGAGCAAGGACTCTTTTTTCCTTCTTTGTAGTTTTACCTCCAGTACACAGTGAAGAGCCTGTACACGCTGAGTACTTAAAAAATGCTTGTGGCTTAGCTGCCTATGCTCGAGTACAGGGCCTTGTTGCTGTTCAGTCTGTCCAACTCTTCATGACCCCATGAGGTTTTTCTTGGTCAAGATAATAGAGTGATTTGTCATTTCCTTCTCCAGCGGATTAAGGCAAACAGAGCTTACGTGACCTGATCAGAGTCATATAGCTAGTAAGTATCTGAGGCCAGATTTGAACTCAGGTCTTCCTGACTCCAGGCCCATTGCTCTATCCACTGAACTACCGTATCATCCACTTATACTATCATAGTATAGTATAATATACTATTATACTGGACTGGACTGAGTAAAGCTCAAATGTCTTTGCTCAGTACCCAAGGTCCTAAATCTGCTGCTACCCTACATTTCCAAACTTATCTCATATTACCACCTCCCTGACCTGCCAACTGTCCTGTTCCTTGTTCATATTTCTCATACTGTGCCCCAACCTATTTTAATAGCCCCTCCCCCAAGATACTAAGGGAGAATGTCAGATAGAGTGACTATTAGGTAGTTCTGTTGAGTTATTTTTCTTTGTTACAAAGAAGGGTTTGATAGGGGAGAGGGAGGGACAGTGGTATAGACCTAGAAATAACTGTGATGTAAAAATAAAAGCTATTAATAAAACACTTTTTTTAAAAGTAAAAAAAAATAGCCCCTCCCCCAATCCTATATGAGGACCGGTTTACCTGAATTCCTATCCATCCTTTGAATCCAAATGCAAATGTCATCATCTCCATAAAGCTTGCTCTGATCTCCTATAGTATTTCTCCAATGATGCTGAGAAGAACCCTAAAACACCCTAAGCTTTTTTTTTAAGTGAACATACATCTTTTGTTAATAGGCATTAAAAAGAATCATTTTAGAGGATTTTACGACAAGGGTTCTGCCAAAGTTTTGTTTAAAAATTAAAGGATCCTGTGAAAAAGTTTGAGAACCACTTTCCTATAGTATGTACTACAATCATTTATCTATGTATCACGTTCCCCCTATAAGTTAACAAGGGCAAAGGACATGTCTTACACATTATTTTTAGACTGGGTCTATCTTGTTCAGACTAAAAGTACAGCAACCACTCATGGGCTCAATGCCCAGACTAATTAGTACAGAGGCAGTTAGCCCCACTGCCTGCCTCTCAAAATTCCTGAAACTCAAGGAATCCATCAGCCTCAGCCTGATCAAGGAGCAGGGATTACAGATATGCATACTCCCTGACCCCTGACATGAGCATTCCAAATTTTCTCTCTTAGTTCCAGGCACAGTGGTCTGTATACAATAAGATGTTCACCGAATTGAAGATACTGTTTATTCTATTTAGGTTGCCTTCTCCACCCTCCACTACTCTTCTCCCTAGCCAAACCTTACCAACCCTTCAAGGCCCACCTCCCATCCTATCTCCTTCAAGAAGTCTCTGGGATTACACCAGCTTGGACTGATCTCTCCTTCCTTTGGGATCTGCTTGAACTTGACTCTACCATTCATGATGTTTAGAGCTAGTATAGACTTAAATCATCTAATTCAACTAGCTCGTGATGCTGGGGATCAAAGAGTCTCAGAAAGGGGAACTTTTCCAAGGCTACACAGGTAGAAAGTGTTTTCCAATTCATTTTTGGTCTTCTTATACATCATTTCATTATTACCTAATATTTCCACTTGTAAGTATATCTTGTTTCCCCAACTATGCTACAAGCTTTTTGAGACTAAAGACTGTAACTTCCACCCTTCATAGCACAAAGGATAGAGCTGAAATTGAGGTCCTTTCATTCACAACACTCCAGTGTCAGTCCTTAGGCCACGTGGCTGTGGGACTGACAAAGGGCAGCTACGAAAGGGTCAAGTGGGACCTTCGTGGAAATTGGGAAAGCTCAGAAAGAGAGAGTTTGGTGAGGAGGTAAAGGGGGTAAGGGAAGGGAATATCATGGAGAGATTTTCCAGTTCAGACATGTTTCATTTAAGGTGATGAGAGGACACTAACGCTTTGAAACCTAGAATGTTAGAGCTGAAAAGGGCCTGAGGGGAACATTTTGTTTCACTTCCTCAAATCCAGGCCAGAAGATGAAGTGACTAACAAGCAGTTCTCAAAGGAATTCTGGGGCCACAGCTTCACAGCCCTGAAGAGGCTAATGTGCTAATGTCTCTAAAATCCCAATGAGGGCATCTAAAGAGAAGAGCACCTCCACAAGGACCTGTGCTCATTTCCTGAGGAAGCACACCTTTTCTGCCCACTAAAGCCACAGTGGTGGGGGCACTGTACCTTGCCCATCAGACAGGTAGTTGTACCAGAAGACGGCTGTGCCTTGCCGAGGCTTCACTCTCAGGTTCCCCTTGTCACAGTGTTTCCTGGTGTCTCGGAGATCAATGTCATTCTGGATCAGGGACTGCAAGTGGCACAGCAAGTAGTAAGTGTTTGTGCTGCCAACATAGGAAGAGCCTAAGAAAGAGGCGAGGCACGGGTGGGTATTTCTAACTCCTACCTCTGGTCAAATTTCCCCACCCCTGAGCCCGGCAGAAAGCCAGATTTGGATAGATCCCCAATACCACCTCCTTTAGTTGCCAAGGCAGCGCCTGAAGGATCAATGCAGGAAAACTCATCACTAAAAGCACAGTGATTCTTCCCTACCCCCAACTCATTAGAAAAAGCCAGTCCCTGCCATTCCAGGAAGCTACACAGGAAGAAGCAGAGGAGGACATATCCGCTGAAGCCCTGACCCAGGTCACACTGGGTCAGTTGCTATTCCTGTTCTTCAGGTCAAGTTGACCATGGCCTTCACCCTCTCTCCGGAGGTTATCCAGCCAATTTCAGAGAGGGCCATGCTGGCAAAAGTATGCACAACAAGGGGAAGCAATTGGGCTGCGACACTTATTCCCTTACCAGCTCATCATAGGTCCTGTTATCTGCCACGGGGAAGGTTGTCTCCCCACCACCAGTGACATTGTTCAGGTAAAACAGCACAGTCACGTAGCTATTAGGCGGAAAGTGGAAAGACGGCAGTTAGGATCTCAGAGTCAAAATCAAAGGCCTCACAGTCCGCCAGACGCAGCGCAAAACGAGGGCGGCAAATTGTTAGTCCCCACCCCCACCCAAAGCTAGGCCTCCCAGCTGCTCGTTTCATTAATTAAGGCACAGGGTACAGAACAAGTGAGGTTCAAGTCCTGCTGTCTGAGCCAGGGAAGACCATATCCAGAGTGTGAGGACCAATTCCAGCTGTCCCAAACAAAGGCAGCTGGGATGGCGGAGGGCATGGAAACCATGCTATATGAGTACTGGTTACAGAAATTGGGGAGGTTAAGCTTCACCAGGGAAAAAAAAAGCTGTGGGGAGTGGGGCAGAGGTAGGGGCAAGAATAGATAGAAGATAGATTCCTATCTTCCAATATCCGAAAGGCAATCATGTGGGGAAAAAAGGATTAGACTTTGTTTTGCTTGGCCTGAAAGGGCAAAAACTAAGCACAAGTTGCAAAGTGATAGATCTCAGCTTGATAAGAAGAACTTCCTAATAATTAAAGCAGCCCAAAGGTAAATATCCCATTTAACCAAAGTATATTGAGAATCTACTCTATGCAAGGCCTAGAGAGGCACAGTAAGCACACTGGATGGAGAACTGGCTAGAGAATGGAAATCATCCAGGTTCAAATTCCACCCAGGCAACTCTCTGAAATAAGTTACCTAACATTTATTGATCAACATTAGTAGAATTCCCTCACCTGGAATTCTAGCTGTGGTTAGATGTCCTCTTATTGGGACATTGTAGGAAGGACTTCTACTCTGGGAGGGATTAAACTAGATGAACTTTGAAGGCCATTCTAGCCCTGCATTCTACAAATATACCATCAACTTCAGCAGGAATAAGGATAGGACTAGTCAGCTACCCTTGTGTGTCCGGTCTGTGTTGCACTAGGCACCAGAGGGATAATATTACAAGACTTGGAGGTTCCCAAAGTGGGTGATACCGCCCCTGGGGGTGTTGGAACAACTGGGGGGAACGGACAGTAGCAGCTTGGGGTGCAAGTGGGGGGTGTTGAATAAAAATAAGGGGGTAGAGGAAGCATAAGGAAAGAGAAGAAAATTTTGAAAAATCGTCCATACATGTTTCATTTGTTGGGAACAGAGTTAAAGTCATTGTGATTACATTATTTTCCAAATAAACACACAAAATGCAAGTTATGACTGATCACTGGTCAAGTCTGCTGACAGGTCTTAACAAGGAAGTGTTGGCAGGCGAGCATGTAGAGCATTGTCAGGAAGTCTAGCAGGAATTGGCAGGAATAAGTGTGTGTAATGAATGACTTGTTTACAATACAATACTATACAGTTACATGTTGCAATATTGTGCCATCAAAATTTTAATGCAGGAAAAAACCACACAAATTTATATTAAATTACTAAATTTAAGATATATCATTTTTAAAAAAAACTTTTTTTTTTGAAATGATGCAAAATTTTTAAAAACCATCAAAGAGTTAAAGAAAGTAGATTTCCAGGGGGTCACTGAGCAACTTTTTAAAAAAGGGGCAGTAGGTCAAATAAGTTTAGGAACCTCTGCTATAAAAGGGTAAGGAGGGGCAGCTAGGTGGCGCAACAGATAGAACACTCGGCCTGGAGTCAGGAAGATCAGAGTTCAAATCTGGTCTCGGACACTTACTAGCTGTGTGACCATGGCACCGTGTTTGCCTCAGTTTCCTCATCTGGAAAATGAGTTGGAGAAGGAACTGGCAAGCCACTCCAGTATTTTTGCCCAAAAAAACCCCCAAAACAAACAAACAAAAAAACCCAAATGGGGTCACAAAAAGTCAGACACCACTGGAAAATGACTGAACAACCACCACCACAAAGGCTAAGGGGACCTGGGAGTAAAACAGCAACTTAATGGGCACTTCCAGAGGTTCAGTTCTGAAAGCCCACAGATACTTTAGTAGGGCAAAACGCTCAAGGTTACCCCTGCTGCTATTAACAAAAATCAGTCTTGTAAAAGGTGAAGATCTCCTTAAAACTGCTGGAAATATGAGACTGGACAATGTCAGATTTGAGAGGCCAAGGCTGAAGAATCATTCACTTAGAAGGGAGAGTTGTAGCCATGAGACCAGATGAGTTCAACAGCATAGACAGGATAGAATGCTCTTCTGTCAGGGACACCTATGGGTAACTATAAGAAATGCTTAGCTTGGAGAATAGGAAGACCAGCAGAGATCTTGAATTGCTGCATGGCACTGAACTGTTTCAGTTAACTTAATCCAAATTCCTCCAGCTTCAGCCTCAGGTTACTCCACTGCTCTCCTTTTCTTAAGTTAAGGAAGGAGAGAAGAAAAAGGAAATAAGATCTTGAGAATCAAATATTCTAGAAATTCTAATTTTTCTTTTAAACAATACATTTTTGTTGATATCCATCATCTACATTTTCTACTGCATTTCACCTCCTCCCAGAGAGCCATCCCTTATAATAAAGAAAGTAAAAGACAGCTCAGCAAAATCAATCACAACCTATGGAAAGAGTCTGCTATATGCAATATTCTACACCCCTGGTATTCTTCAAAGAAAAGAGGGAGATGTCTCTTTTTCTTTTCAAACTGACCAAGCAATCTATTTAAATTTAGGATCCTGATGGGGGGAAACTGTAAACAAATGGAACAGAGAAGACTTCAGAAAATGAGGAGGAGCAGCTAGGTGGCGCAGTGCATAGAGCACTGGCCCTGGAGTCAGGAGGACCTGAGTTCAAATCTGGCCTCAGACCAGACACTTGACACTCACTAACTGTGTGACTCTGGGCAAGTCACTTAACCCCAATTGCCTCACCAAAAAAAAAAAATTAGGAGAATTAAGGAAGTAGAAGTTTGGTAGTATCATATGCTGTAGAAAGGTCTCTGAAAATGACGACTGAGAGAAGGATTTTGCAAGGAGGGAGTAATTATTGACCTCTGAGACTGGTTACAGTAGAATCATAGAGATGAGAATCAGATGGCAAGGGGTTAAAAAGGGAGTAAGTGAATAACATATAAAGACCTTACATTTGAGTTTTAAAGCAAAGGGAAAGGGGGCAGCTAGGTGGTGCAGTGGATAACACACCAGCCCTGAAGTCAGGAGAACCTGAGTTCAAACCCAGCCTCAGACCAAATGTATGACCCTGGGCAAGTTACTTAACCCCAATTGCCTAAAAATAATAAAACAAAAAAATAAAGCAAAGGGAAGGAGAGACAGACCAATTGCTAGATGAGTTATAAGGGCCAAGTGAGAGAGAGAGAGAGAGAGAGAGAGAGAGGGAGTGTGTGTGTGTGTGTGTGTATATATAATATATATATGTGTCCTTTTAAAATAGTGAAAACTGGTATGTTCGAAGACAGAAGAAAAGGAACCCATAAAAAAGAAATTAAGAAAGAGAAAAGATAACTATGAGAGGAAGAACACAGAAGAGATGGGGGAGGAAGGGAGAGCTGAAAAGAATGAAAAATCACAGACTGGGATGAAAATGAGTATATTATGAGGGAACTTATTCCAGATGAGCTAAGTCTTCTCTGTGAAAGAGGGGCTAAAACCATTCCATGGGAGTGAAATGGGAAGGAAGAAGTCAGAGATGAATGCTGGACAGCATATGTTAGAGTCAATGACTCAGGAACAAAAGAAGATGATTGTTAAGAATCAGTCAGCACCAGAATGGAAGGCGGACAGCTGGACTCTATAATGGACGGCATCTGAATTCCTACTTTGTCCAGCTTACCACACCCTCGTTCCCAAATCTAGTCCCAGAGATTCAAAGAATTTTAAAGCTGGATGGGATCTCAGAGATCAACAAGTCCAATCCCCTCATTTTTCAGATGAGGAAATTGAAGCCCAGAGAGGGCGATTTGTGTCAGATCACCCAGCTGGTTAGTGGCACAGTGGAGACTAAAGCCCAGTTTTGCCTCCCTCCCAGTATACCATCTTTCTATTATTCTGCAAGGCGAGGGAGACGTCCTTACCGACAGGAAGTTTCAAAGGGTGACGTTTCATTAGCGATGAGCTTTGTATGACTGCAAGCTGTTTCTGGGAACACAGGCCCACTGTCCATGTGGGCATGGTAGTGGCCGCCCTGGTCATACCGGACCACCTGCATAGGCTCACTATGTTCCACAATCTCTCTCGGCAGACGAGTGAGACGGAGCACCCTGGCAGAGAAAGCACAGCAGAGCAGAGTGTGGTGAGGTCCTGAGGGTCCCCCTGCTGTCTCCGTATATGGAGACCTGACCTCCTTCAAGAGCACCCAGGAAAACGCCCAGGAAGAGAGATGTGCACCCTCAGGGCTCTCCCAGCATTGGGCTGACAGTAGGGTGGGTATGCTGTCTTCAGAGTGGAACATTTCTGGATGGACCTTCTTATCCTCCCCAGCCAAGCCTTTCCAAAGCTAGTATACCCTGAGAAGCCATGGAAATGGCACAGAGGGATGCACCACTTCCTCCAGAGGTGACCTTGGGCAAGTCTCCTCACCTCTCGGGACTTTATTGGGTTAGATGGCCTAGAAGACCCTTCCAGCTCTAAATTTAGAGCTACCTTAGAGCCAGTGTGGCCATCCTTGGGAGGCAGGCAAGGTATTCTGACACATATACTCTGGGGACCCCAAGATCTGTGCATCATGCCCCTTCCATGTTCCCCATGGGGGAAACCCAACAAAAGAGATTTATTCACATGACAGAAAATAACTTGACCAAGACAAACCATGCCTATAATGCCCCAGGTGGTCTTCATTCTTGGGTCATTCTGAGCCCCCAGCAGAAAAGATCCCATATGCTGGGAGATAGAAGATCCCCAAAATGATCAGGAATCCAGGAGTTAGGAATCTTTTAGGATAGATACCTCCTTCCAACTCCAAACTGGAATGAATCTGAGTTAATGGCAACTCCCTCAGTAGATTACATTCCAAATCCCACCAGCACAGAGAAAATAGCTCAGTGGGAAAGAGCGAGATTAGATTTCCATTAAGATTGGCCCCTGCTCTCAGACCACTCAGTCCATCTGGAGAACTTCTCTACAGAGCTAAGGAAGCACCATCCTTCCACTTCTAAACTACCCATTCACACCAGGAAAGGACCTAGGGAAAAGGGCGGCAGCAGGAGGAAATCCACCAGAAGAGATCCTTACTGCTAATTAACTGAAGACAAACAGTCAAACCATTTTTAATTCCAATTGTATCTAGTTAGCCCCTAATTAGAGTTTATTTGTTTTAATTTAACACTTATCACCTGCCTTTCAATTCATTACAATCCAATTTTAACCAATGTCCCATTTAATATCTCATTAACTAGAGCTTGCTAAATCAATTCAATACATTCCTTGCCTTCCCAAAACTTCCTAGTCTTCCTCCAGTCTAGTTAAATACAAAGTTAGGTCCTCAGGAAGGAGGAGCTTTGACACAGAGCCTAAGCCAGACCCATCCCCCCCCCACCATGTACAGAAGGGGCACATGATGGGACTCAGCTGCTGCTAGTAACAGGTCTCTGGCGTTGTGTCCACCCCCAGGCCCACATTGGCCCCAATTGTTCAGAACCAGAGCTGCTACGAGGAAGAGCAAGGTCCTCCTCCCTTCCCAGCCTAATCCAAGACTAGGTGTGGATGGCACCTCTTTCCAAGGGTGGGCTTATGGAAATGAAGCTGTTCAGGAAGGAATCCCTCCCGGAAGGCAGCTCTGGGTGCCCTAAGTCACCCCACCCTCCCGGCCCTATTCTGAGAGTCCTATAACCATTTCAACTCAGCACGGGGCTAGGGGCTTGGGAGGGGGGCATGGCAGTTTCCCCTCTTAAATAGATCTTCCTCGGTTTCTAATTTGTCTCTCTACAAAAAGCCTTTCTCAAAAAGCTTGGGACCCAGAAGCCCTGGACTAGTTGGGTGACCCTGAGCAGATGGTTTACCCTCTCTGAGACTCAGTTTTCTCTTCTGTAAAATAGGGATATAAATATTTGCTTTACCTACCTCACACGGTTGTTGTGAGGGAGGTTCTTTGCTCAACTAAGATGTTGGCAAAGTGTTACACCATAAAAAAGTGCATTATCATTCTTTTCATAGGCAGAGGCCTTTCTATTAAACGTTCACAAGCATGTCTCACCACAGAACTTGAGAAAGCAACAACTTCTTTCTTTTGAAGGACCCTAGAAGAACCCTCCTTCTCTAGCCTGGCAGACAGCCTCTCAGACAAGCCTTTCTTACACTCCTCCTGCAGCAGTAAGAGCCATGCCCACTCACAAGATTATCTTGGTCTGAACAGGGTAGGGGGTGGCTCAGCACCTAGGCCAACAATCATGCTCGACTTTGTTCCTAGCCCCACTTTGAGCACCAGGAAGCCAGGCATTGGGATAAGTGAGATGCCAAGCCAAGTCCCTTCCACCTCTACTGGTATCTTTCTTCTCTCTGCCATGCACCAGGCTTCCTCTCCCACTGCCCGCAGGAGCGTGCAGCTGTCCTCAGGCCTCACCTCTGCCGGATGGATCTCATGACCTGATGGGCGCCCTCGCCCTGGTACAGCCAAGTGTGCTGGCTGTTGCGCACCAGGTCGCTCACCTTCACCTTCTGACTCCCCATGTACTTGTGGAAGTCCCTGAGGTGTAACTGCTTAAACTCCTCCAAACTCAGCACACCTGTGGAGAGCGAAGAGTGGAGACCGTTGTTGGTACCAAGGATGCTGGGGATATCCTCCCCAACACACTGCCCCATCCCCAGGATCCAAGGCTATCTGGTGGGGGCATTTCTTTGTAGCCCCAGTGCTTAGCACGGTGCCTGGCACATACTAAGTGACTTGTTGCCTGACTGAGATCAAACTACAGCTGGAACGTGGTAGACTCTGGGCACCACATTTTAGGAGAGATATGGCCAAGATAGGGCATCTTCAGAACAGGGTGGCCAAGAGGATGCCAAACCACGGCTTACAGGCAATGTTTAACTTGGAGACGAATACTTCAGGGATACATGATTTCTGTCTTCAAGTATTTAAAGGGCTGCCCTATGGAGGCAAGAGGAAATATTCTGTGGGGCTCCAGAGAGCAGAACTGGGACCAATGTGGGGAAATGTACATGGAGGCAGATTTTGGCTTAATATAAGGAATGAATAACATATACCTTTCTGAATATAACAACTTTCTTTTTTGGGGGGGGAATAGGGGTTAAATGACTTGCCCAGGGTCACACAGCCAGTAAGCATTATGTGTCTGAGGCCTGATTTGAACCCAGGTCTTCCTGAATCCAGGGCTGGTGCTCTATCCACTGTGCCACCTAGCTGCCCCAATATAACAACTTTCTAACAAAGCTGGCCAATAGTGGAACAGATTGTCTGATGAGATAATGAATTCTCCAACATTGGAAGTGTTTAAGTAGAAGCTGAATGACTACCTGTCAGGAAAAAAATGAAAAATGTAGAAGGAACTTTTGCAGAGTAGATGGTTGCACCAGATAACCTATGAGGTCCCTTCCAACTTTAAAATTCTAGGATTTGTAAATCTCCCTCTACTGTAGCAGCATGCATATACTGGGTGCAATAACCTTTGAATCCACAGCCTAAATAACCTTTTGTCCAAAAAAATTACGCCAATGAGGAGAGATGACTACAGGTCACTAGGACAAGGGGAGGTTACCCAGAATGGCCTTTTCAGGGATGAAATCTGTGTGTCTAATAGCCAGCCTGACCTGAAAGAAGGGCCCAGCATGCTTTCTAAGGGCTGAGTGTGACAGCTGAGCATCCAAACAAGGAGGACCAGACGTCATGGCCAATCAGGGCTGGACACCCTTGGCTTCCACCTCTCGAAGGGGGCCAAACAGGAATCCGCAAGTGTTAGTACCTACCGGAAATCCCACCCATGCTGGAGACACCATCCTTGGTACTACCTGTCCAACTGCAGCCCTTTTAGAAAGCATGTTTTCTTGGGGGGAAAAAACCACCCAAATAAGATGTTTTCCTGAGGTTTCTCACTTCTTTGTTTGCTTTATTTTTAGCAGAAGTTAAATAGGTTGCAATCACCTCTGGGACTAATTTGTATGTCTGAGTTCAGTGTTTCTACCTTAACTCTATCTCCCTTGCCTCAAAGAGGGAAACAAAAAAAACCCTAATAGCCCAAAGAAGTAAAACCACTTTTCTATAATCAGATTAGCTTGTGAAAATCTACTAAGACATTTCCCTGAGTGTCTTGGGTCTTGGTCACCCCAGGCCATGAGGGAAGTGAAAGCCTACAGGCACAGGGAGGTTCTTAGAAGCCCATACCCTGGCTGAGCCTCTGTACCCCTGGGGAACAGCCAGAATTGCTTATCATCATGTCATGTTAAGGCTCCCAGTCTTACTTCTGTAACAGGACTAAAAGGACTGTCATCTGATGATGCAGGTCTCTGGACCCTGCCCAGAGTCTCTCAGATGTTGGAAGTTACTCGTCTTGCTCACATCTGAACCCTGCAGGCTCACACACTGACAACAATGGGTGACAACTGCATCCAAAGCGAGGCTAGGCCAAGAGACCAAGTCCAGTGATGAAAATTTCAACAAAGCTACTCTTCTGGTTATTCCTGAGTGGTAGTATGCTACTACAGAGAGCCTGCTCAGCACTCAGCACTGACAACATCAGTAGCCTGGCATGGGCAGCCAGGATGCTCAGTGACTTTCCTGTGCCAGGATGCAGACTTCAGTCTCTCCTCCAGTGACTTCTCCCTGCCCTGTATACCTCCTTCCTCCACCTTGTCCCCACCAAGGTCTTGCCTGGTGCTCCCTCAAAAACCTGAAGCAATAGAATCCTCACTCCCAAGAATACGAGGCCCTCCACAATCTGCCACTACCTTACATTTCCAACCTTTCTCATACGATTGCTTGTCTCTATAATCCCACACTACTCTCACTTCCCCAAACAGCCCTTGTGTTTCCCCTGATCTCTACATTGGAATTTTTCCCTTTCCCTCTGATCTCTACATTGGAATTTTTCCCTTTCCCTCTTTACCTGATGAATTACTATTCATCTTTTAAACCCCAACTCATGCTCCTCCTTCAGGAGTGGGCCTTCCTTGATCTTCTCTCCTTCCTCTCCCTATTGGGAATACCATTTTTTCTTGGACCTCAGACAACACTTTGCTACTACAAAATGCATTTATCATGCAGTAGTGGATGTTACAGCTATTTATAATTCATCCTGAAAACTCCAAACAGATACTTAAGAAATATCTGTCGGAAATGTTAGGAAATGGACCATTACACATTCAGGCTTTTCCACACATAAGGATAGGGGGAAGATGAAAAAGACAAGGAAGAAAAAAGAAAGGCCCAAGCTCCCAAGGGCTTGGCATATCTTGGAACAAATCAGAGCCCCTTATGGAAAGGGGTAAAGACTGTATCATCTCAGTAGGTTCCCAGAGATGTGACCCCGCTTTTGCCTCATGAAAAGGAAGGGGGGTGACTGTGGACTTTTAGACCTCAGTTGAATGCCAATGGCAACCTGGATTAGTGGTTTCTCCCAAAAAGTGAATGGGACCGGAATTAGCACAACCCCTGGGAACATGGGGAACCATCGAGCAACACAAGCCCCATTCTTTGGCCACTTTAAATGACTATCCAGAACTCAAAGCCCCGTTCCTTTCAAGGGAACCTCCAGAGGCAATATTTAGTGATCATGGCGCATACAACTGGTCCAGAGAACATCCCTCCAATGGTCTAGGCTTCATCCCAATCTCTCCATTTTTTTTCATTTGAGTCTTCACTCCAGCTGCTTCTGTTGTCTCACACTTCCATACGCCAATCAAACCTCCAATTTTCATGAATAAATACATTCTGACATTTGCTGAGGTTGAGGCACAAACTCTGGCACAGAGCAAGCACTTAATAAAGGTTTGTTCTTTTATTCATCTCTAAGCAGCATCTAAACCAGCCCACCACTTAAAGGTTCCCAACCAAGAAAGCAAGTTCTGACCTCCAGTCCTCTCTGCCTGGATGACACTGAGAGGCAGAGGGCGTCACCAGGTGCTCCTGGGCGCATAGGCACAGCCCCCCACTCCTCAACAGCTCCTTCTTCAACATGGCCCCAGTTAGTGATACTAGTCTAGGCTGGAAGCTTGAATGAAGGGGAAAGGCATACTGGAAGAGCCTCACCTCTCTGGGGACCTGGTGCTCTGGGGAAGACTTTCCCCCTTGGGCTATTGGATTTAGCACAAACCCTGTTGCGGGTCTGTGTCCTTAGAACTTTCCAAACTCACCATCACCATCAGGATCGGCCTTGACCGCAGTGTACATCTCCCGGATGTTCTCAGGCGTCATCCACCTCCCATTCCCCAAACGGGTATGGGTCAGCACCTGAAATGAACCCAAACAGGTGCCCAGGATCAAGATTATGTGCAATTCTCACTTACAAACTATCAGCCTGTTCTCTGATTTTGTTTTGTCCACTCTGGCCTCTCTATTTGTACAGACAGTCCTTCCCCCACCTCGCTTCCCTCCTCCCTCAGCCCAACTATACACATCCTTCTCTTCCTTATAGGTCTGCCAGGTACCACGTCCTCCAAGAAGACTTCCTAGACATTGCCCCTCCACCCCAACCAGCTGAAAATGTTCTCTTACTCTCAGATTTTTCCTAAAGCACTTTATCTGCACCCCTTTATAAAGCAGATCACACTCTACTTTCTATCCTATGGTAAATTAGGAGTTCCCTGAGGCAGAACTGTCATCTTTTATCTCCTGATCCCTAGTGTTTAGCACAGTGCCTTTTACAGAGTAAGGGCTTAAGAAATATTTGTTGAATTGAAATTTGTTGAGTGAAGAGAAAATGTGATACCCCAAGAAAAATTTATATTTATATTCTGAATAGCAGCATTTATATATGCCTTAAGATTTGCAAAGTGCTTTATAGATATTAACTCATTGGACTCAAACAACCTATTTTACAGATGAGGAAACTGAGGCACAGGAGAAGTGACTTGCCCACACCTCTAGTAAGTGTCTAAGGCAGGATCTGAACTTGAGTCTTTCTGACTCCAGGTGCTACGCTCATATCCTTCAAGATCTACCAGCCATCTTATACCACAGATACGCTCTAGAGGGAGGTCTCCTGTTACACCATAGATACATTGCTGAAAGATTGTTTTTGTCATTTGAATTCTAGACATTCAGTGCTCCAGGACAGCTGGCCATTTAAAGGAATCTTAAGGAAAATCCTTTGTAAGGAACAAGATCATAATGCTTAGTGCTCTGAGGGGCTCGAGGGATCACCTCAGTCTAGCCTCCTCATTTTACAGATAAAACAACTGAGGTTCTGGAGGTGAAGTGACTTGCTCAGGGTCACCAGGTTCATTCAGTAACAAAACCACATTTCAAGCCATTCTCCAAATCCAGAGCTCTTCTTACACAGTAAGCCAGCCTGGCATTTACAATGTTCATTGTTTAGTCCATAAACAAAAATGGATAATCCCCAAACTGGTAATCAAAGAAGAATGCCCAATGCTGGCTTTCTGAAGGGTATAAGCAAGGCCAGATCCTTGACCTGACAGGATAGGAGAGGAACTTGAGGGAGCCTCACATTTCTCTCCACCACTCCTCCCCCCCTTAGCTGTTCCTGTGTGGGAAGGCCCAGCCTCCTTCTGAGGGGCCAGACCAAGGAAAACAAAAAGATTCCTAGGGGATACATAAATGGAAGATCCAGGCCCTGAAAGGGGGAGACTGGCACTTGACAAAATTAGGCAGTAAAACCCAGAGCAGAAGTCCTCCCATACTGAAGGACAAAGGAGGGAGGGGGCTGCCACGGGGATCAGGACTTGGATGAGTTTCTGAGCCTAGGCACAGCTGTTGCTCTGGGGAGGGGGGCAGTTTACCCTGTGAGAAGCTTTTCTAGAAAGGCTAAAGAGCAAGCAGAGCAGACTGTACAGTAACACTGCTCACCGACCCTGTGCTGCACAGTGGCCATACAGGCAGCTGGCCCAGAGGACTGTCAGGAGCAGGGGCCAAACAAAGCTCTCTCCTCTTGGAGGAAATGCTTCCCCAGTGTGCAACCCTTCCTCTACCTCCTTGAGCTGCAGCTGCCCATCCTGGTTATGGTCCAGCAGATTGAAGACGTCCATCGGGCTGACTTCAATCATTTCCATGGCTTCTTCATAGTCGTCTGTGGGCAGCGTCTGGCTCTTCTGCAGCCCTTTCAGCTGGGCCAAGTGGATAATCAGCTTGCATTCTTCCTCACTTAGAAAGTTAGGAATTTCTGCCAGGAAGAAGAGGAAAGGACCCATGGCCAGGTTACCAATTAAAAGTAAAGCACCCATCAATGGCACCTGAGAGAAAAACCAAAGCTAGGGAAAGCGAGGCTGTGTCTTTAGAGTCCGTTAGCTTGTAAATTATTATTGCAATTATAAAAAGACTTGCTTCTAATTCCTTTCTTTCCTCACCAAAGGGCATGACAAAGGGTTAATATAAGACAGGTCCCAAGGCGACATTTTTCTGATACAATGACTTGTGGGGCTGACAGTTTCTCTGTAGAAAACCAAGAGTACAGATTTCAGCTGCCTCATTGATGGCAGTATTTATAGTAAGTGAGCTTCCAGTCTGGGAAAGGCCAGAGGAACAGTAACCTCACACCCTCTTTAGTGATTAGACCCCACTAGAATCTTACACTGTATATAGTATATCAAACCCCCTAAGGAACCCACAGTCTATATCGATCACTAAGAGGCTATAATTGGTGCAGGAGGAGCCACACAACCACCCAAGGTCAGGGCAGGGCTGTGACAGGTGACTCCCACAGCCCTGTCTCAGACAGAGTGGCCCAGGGCCATCACTTAGGTCAGGTTACAATGAAGCAAGTTTCCTTGTGTAACTAAGAAAGCACTTTAATAGCAATCATTAAGTCCATCTCTATCCATCCACTCATTTTAAACCTAGGTTGGAATTACCCAGTGAGTTGCTGGGCTTCTGCAGTTACCAAGAACAGGTTTTATTTGGGACTTTGACCCTGGGACATTGGCTTGGATGGTCACTCAGGTTTCTGGCAGTTGGCATTGGTGCCAGGGCCTGGAAATGTGGCCCCAGGCTAGGTAGTTTGGTTTTTGTTTTGTGGTTTTTTTTGTGGTTGTTTTATATCAATTTAAATACCTCATAGAAGAAATCTGATCACAAGCCTATGGGAGAAATGGCCTCAAAACAAGGATTCTGTTTTTGCTCACTGCCCAGCTCTATCCCATCTGATGATCTTCTGCTGTCACTGAACAGACACTGCCATGACAGTATGATGGAAGTCCTATCCTTCTAGATGAGTTCAATGTGGGTCAACTATAAAACCGGTTCATGTTACATTGGTCGTTGTTCAGTCATTTTTCAGTTGTGTCCAATTTTTCATGACCCCGTTTGGTGTTTTCTTGGTCAAGATACTGTGGTGGTTTGCCATTTCCTTCTCTAGCTCATTTTACAGATGAGGAAACTGAGGCAAACAGGGTGAAGTGACTTGCCCAGGATCATACAGTAAGTGTCTGACACCAGATTTTAACTCAAGATGATTCTTCCTGATTCCAAGCCCAGCGCTCTATCCATTGTGCCTCCCACCTGCCCTTTCACGTTACACAAGATGTTGCCATAAATATTTCCGGGTTGTGCAGACAACTTATCCAACTCCTTCAATATGTCCCCTCGAGTCTGTCTCCCACTCACCCTATCTCTCCACTAAGAAACCTACTCTTAATTACATCTCTCACTGATAACAACAGGAAAAACGGACTGAAGATAAAAGATAGAGAAGTTGCATACTGTTTGTATACAGCATAACTATGGCTATAATGCAGAATAAAAAAGACAGGATGCATGACCCAAACTGGGCACAACCCAAAAGAACCAGGCAAATTCTTTGTGTAAACAATGTCCAAGCCTGTAAATACATCTCCAATCTAAGCCTACGCAGAATGCCTGAAAGGTTACTGGGGTTTGAAAGCCTGCTTAACGAGTAGCAGGGCTAAATCAATAGGACCTAATTGACTTGGTCAAACACCTGATTGCTTTGCCACGAAAAAGAAAGAAAGAAAAAACAACCATTAAAGGGTTTATTAACAGATGCCTAATCCAGGGGCCTCCCTGAAGGGGCAGAGTTTGAATAGTGGCATCCAGTAGCGACCTAATCAAATGCAAACAAGTCTGATTTACAGACAACCGGAGCTGGGATAAAGAAGCCCTGGGCTGCCCTCATTAACACACCTGCTGAGCTGAGCCCAGGCCCCCAATTAGAAAGCCAAAGACTAGGCAAACATCTCATTTGTGCTGTCTTTAAAAACAGTGGATTCATAATGAAGGGGCTGGCCACTGAGCCTATGGAGAGGATCATACATAAAAAAGCCTCCCTAAGCAGATTCAGCTCCAAAAAGAAGCCACTAGCTCCTGTGGAACATCTGCCCACCTAAAAGGCTAAGGTAAAGGTGCAGGATGGTGGCCAGAGGGTCCATAGAGAGGCTGCTGCTTGCTTTGGTAGGTCTGTGGGGCTGTTGCTTTGTAAGGGCTGGTGCAGATTTCCCTAGGAGCTCCTCTCGATGCACATTCATTCCAAGAAGCATGACTCTATGCTATGATATTGGCTATTCTGAAATGCGAATCCCCAACCTGCTGGAACATGAAACCATGGCTGAAGTGATCCAGCAGTCCTCCAGCTGGCTGCCATTGCTGGCCAGGGAATGTCACCCAGATGCCCGAATCTTTCTCTGCTCACTCTTTGCACCGATTTGCCTGGACAGGTAAGACTTTAAACTCTCTATTTCCAGGGAAAGAATCTCCCCACAGGGTAACTAATGACACATGGCACTATCTCACCCATATTCTTTAGCTCTCTCTTGAGATGGGTCAGCTGGGGCTGCACTTCTCCATCAGCTGCTGGGTTTGTGTGTTTGATGAGTCTCATTGAGGCTACTGTAAAAGCACAGACGGGTATTTCAGGTCATGTGCTCCCAGAAAAGAAGCCACCGCTGTGGAGTGCCCTCCTTTAGATGAGAAGGCAATCACTGTAGGCCACAGACCAGCTCCAACTAAGAGAAAAGAGCCTCCTTCCCACTTCCACTGGGTGATTACATTCCACTGAGGAATGAGGAACCATCCAGCTGATTCACCAGTCAGGTTCCCGTCTTGCTATTCAAGTTTTTCCTCTCTTGGAGCAGGCCTCTTTCGGCCCTGCTGTTCATTCTCAAGGTCTTCTGTTGTAAAAGGCACAGCACCACCGCGGATAACTTGTCAGTTACGGCTCCGAGCAGTCACAAGAACTGGACAGGAGGCCAAGGTCTGATCTCCCTTTTGCTTGTCTGCTGTAAATAGTCCACTCAAGCTACTCATCTGGCACCTCCCTTTCAGGAAATAAATGGATTTTTGTTTCAAGACACTTCTTAAATTACCTTTATTTCCAGAAAGTGACATACAGATGTGATGCTTTGGTGCCAACAAGAACATCTTCCTTGATGTTCTTGAATAGTGATGGGGATCGTAATGAGTATGGTGCCAACAGGAGGCCCCCATTTTCCTCCTTTTCCCATAGCGGTGATTTAGGGATAGAGAACACTAATGGGTTCTGAATGGAAGCACCAAAGAGCATCTTGAGGGCTAATGACAAAGCAGGTTAACCCCCAGGCCACCTGGCACTAAAGGGAGGAAAAAAGCAATTCCTTGGAGAAGAGTGTTTTCCCAATTGATAATCAGGTATTCATTGTAATTAATTTCATTTAGTCAGACAAATATTAAAACCCAAGCTGTACGCTGTGCTGGGCACTGGAGAATTTTCCAAGTTTAGCTAAGATACTGTCCCCATCCACATAGAGCTTAAGATCTAGTGGATAATTTAATATACAATGCTACACGGTAAGTGAGATAAGAATAAGAGATCCACTTCCCAGTGCTGTGTAAGGCCTAGTGTGGGGGAGGGGGTAACAGTAAAGCAAGCCTTCGTGGCTTCCTGGAGATAGCATTTGGGACTGGAAATACCAAGAAGCTAAAGGCTGAAGACCAGAGCTCCCAAGGCACTTTTCTAGAAGACCTGAAGGTACAGGGAAACACTCTTCTTGCTTGGCATTCCTGAGCTCCTCCATCCAAAGAAGAACCTGTTTCAGTATTTTATGTTCCCCATGTTTCCAGGGTAACACCACATGTACCAGTTTGGAAAGCCATTTGAAACCCAGGAAAAGCCACACCCAGCTAGGTGGGTGGGTGATTGAAACGTCAGTATTTATAGGATGAGTGTTTACTTCTCTGCCATGGTTTGGGGAGGCCCTATCTGATTGGTAAACATTTCTGGAGCGCCAAGATGGCATAAGGGACAGAGAGCCGGATGTGGAGTCAGAAAGACCTGAGTTCAAATGTGACCTTCAACAATGTCTAGCCAAACCTTAGTCAAATCACTTAGCCTCTGATTGCCTATGTTTCCTTAACTGTAAAATGGAGATAATAGTAGCACCTACCACCCAGGTATGTTGTGAGGATTAGATGACATAATATTTGTAAAGTGCTTAGCACAGTGCCTTACCATAGTAGATGCTTCATTAATATTCCTTCCTTCTTTCCTTTCACCAGCTATGCACAGGGCACCATGCTGTGCTATGCTGTGAAAGATACTGGCATTTAAGACATTTCTTTTACCCTTGGGGAACTTGCACGAAGATAGCATGGGGCTATTAGAAAAACTGCTGGACCTAAAGTCCAAGATGTGGCTTCAGATCCTGGCTCTACCACCTACTAGCTGGGGGACTTTTGAGAAGTGATAACCTCTACTGTAAATTGGAGAGAATGATTCTTGTGCACAGGTCTGCTGTGAGGAAAGCCCTCTGAGAACCTGAAAGCATGATAGAAACGTGAGCTACTATTTCACTACCACAAAGACCTACGGTTTCATTGCTGATACAGACCGAAAGCCCTCCCTGCCTTAGCTCCTCATTTCATGAGTTGCTGTATCCAAAAATATTCCTCAGCTCATGGCACGCCTCTTGTTGAAGGTAAAGAACTAAATATCCACAGTCTCCCTCCTTTAGGATCATCTACCCCTGCCGAAGTCTCTGTGAGAGTGTTCGGGACAGCTGTGCCCCCATCATGGCTTGTTACGGATACCCCTGGCCCCAGATCCTCCAGTGTGATCACTTCCCTGCAGATCACAGTCTGTGTATCTCTGCAATCACCGACGAGATGAGCGTGAGCAGGAGAAGTAAGTCAACCTTTCCTGGTACAACTGCTGCTACCACCACCACTACTACTACTACTACTACACATACACAGAGCCAGTCATGATAACAAAGGCAGAATATTTTTCCCTCAGTGCTCAAATATGGGGGTCAGGGGTGTCAAGCCCATAGGCTTGTTTTATAACTTATATCATCATAGGATTTAGAGCTAGAAGGGACTCCAGAGCTTATCTAGTCCATCCTACTTCCTTTGAAAAAGAAACTTCAGTCCAAACAAGTTAAGTGACTTGTCTAAGGTCACACAGATAAATAGATGAGCCAGGAGTCTGCTTCAGTGTCCCTGGCTTTAGATCCAGAGCTCTTAAAAAAAACAAAAAACAAAAAACAACAACTCCACTTTAAAATGTGTGTGTGGTGTGTGTGTGTGTGTGTGTGTGTGTACAGAGAGAGAGAATTTAATGAGAGTAACAAAAATTATCCTATAAGTGATGCCCCTTTTGCATTTTTTCTTTTGCAAATTAAAAAAATGTTCCAATGCTTTTTCCCTGGCAATCACTACTCCCCAGCCTCCACCCTCCCTTATAACTAGTCAGCACATCGGCCATATCTTGAGAAGGCTAGCCCAATTCCGTTCCTCTCATCCAATGCCTCTCTTCCCAGAGATGGAGGCTATTTCTCAGCAGCTGCTGTTCAAAGTGCTCATCAGCTGCTGTTTCTGTTTGCCCTTTTATTATTATGGCCACCATGTCAATAGTTCTTCTGCCTCTGCTCATTTCCCTGTGCCAATTCATGCCAATGTTACCATATTTCTTTGAATACATCATACTCATCATTTCTTAGGACACAACAAAATTCCATTATATTCACATACCACAATTTGTTAAGCCATTCACCAATTTATAGCCATCTCTTTTGTTTCTAGTTCTTCCTACAACAAAAAGTTCTGTAATAAACATCCCTAAATAGGGGTCTTTTCCCTCTCTCTTTAACATCCTTGGGGTACCTGCCTAACAAACAGCTTTACTGCTGGGCCAAAGGGTACAAGCAGGTCAGTGACTTTTTGAGTGTCCTTCCAAACTGTTTACCAGAACAGCTGAACCATTCACAGCTCCATCACTAGTGGGTTATTGCTGCCCCTATCCTTTCATAGCCCCTCCATCAGCCCCTGCCATTTCCCTCTTTTGTCATATTTGACACTCTGATAGGTGTGAAATGAAATCTCAGAATTGTTTGAATTTTCATTTCTCTTGTGAATTGAAGCATTTTTCAGATGGCTTGGATTGGATTGCTTGTATTTCTTCATTTGAGAATTGCTGGTTCCTATGCTTTGACCACTCACATATTTCAGAATCCAGAGCTAAGAGAAAGGAGAGCTAACTAGCTAAGTCAGAGATATTCTCTTAGCATCACAAAAAGAAGCAAACAGAAGAAGGTTCAGTCTTTATCCAGCAAAAAAAGGAACCAGCACCACTATTCTGTTCCTTGAGCCCTGCACAAGGCAGTGAGACCTTGGGGCATGGGCTTCTGGCAGCCCCCATTCCACAGCCCTGGAGGGTGTAGGAGTCAGATGGCTAAGTTGCCGGGCACAGAGAGAACTCTGGCTCCCAAGTTCACCAGTTTGGCACACAGTTCCCTTACTGTTGAGAACAATGGTTTATAGTCAGAGGCATTCTCTCCTTCCCCCACCAGTTCCTCGAGCCAGCTGCCGGGACTGTGAATTGGAAGATGCAAGCTCCCCAAAAGAGGTTCTGGATACCTTCTGTACCAATGATTTTGGTGAGTACGACTGTTGTGGCACTCCCCAGTACCCTCAGATCCCGTGACCCTCATTCTATTCAGCAAACAAAGGTCAACCTACATCTTCTGTGTCCCTAGCACTGTGCTAAATACCTATATGAGGATACAGGGCAATTCATTTGAAGGTGATGTTAAAATGCCAAACTAGGGGGTCACAAGATAGAATGTCAGTGCTTTGGGTCAAAGGCCAATGGAAGAAAAAAAGTCACGTCCTATACGGCAGGACAATGGCCCCTCTGCTGACAAATAACAGAGGTGAAGTTTCCTCATAGGATTTGGGATTTCCAAAGAGCCTGACAGCTTACTCAAAGTGAGTCAGACTGAGAGGTTTTTAGTTCACATCCAGACAAGGCAGGATCTCAGGGGAGGGGGAGGGAGGGGGAGTTCAAGCTAATCTAAGCCCTTGTAAAAAAAAAAAAAAAGTAAAAATTTCCTACTCTAAGCAAAGTCAGGCTGGTGACTCTGCACAGCCCTCCCTCATTTAAATCCAATTCAGTTGCAAGTCATGGCATCACCTTCCTGAAGTCATGTTCCTCTTTGGGAACAAGGACAAACAACAAAAACTACATGCAAAGTACCATGAGAGATACTGGGCTGCTAGGCAACATAAACTATTTATGTGCCAGGCACAGTGTCCTGGGGATACAAATACAATCAACAAGAAAGAGTCCTGGCCCTCAAGAAGTTTATATTCCAAACATTTTGAATAGGGATAGTGGAGAAGCAGAGCCTGGAAAGGAGTGAAGGGAAGCTAGCCTGGGCCCATCCCCAAAACAGAGACCCAAGAGGAACTCATTAATAGCAGAAGGGGACCAACTGGATACATAAAGAAAAAGAAAGGGGAAAAAAATGTAGGCCCAAGAAATTTATATCCTACTAAAAGATTGCAAGCCATAAACAGATAAGAATATTCATGATTACTTGAGGGGCAAGGAGAGAACTCTAACCACTAAAGGGATCAGAAAAGGCTTCTGGCAGAGAAAAACAGTCAAGCCAGAGACGGTGAGACAATCCATTTCCAGGAGGCTTTTCCAAGAGAGACATTTCTTGTACCTCTGCAATGGCGATAGCCGCCCTGCCTGTGTCCTGAGCAATAAGTAGGTAACCTTAAGCAGTTTCATGGTAACAGGTAGGCCTGATGGCCGTGACCAGAGAAGTAGCAGGGCCGGCAGGGAGGACATACAGCCAGCTTTGGAGCTGCTGCCAATGGCCACTCATCCATGCCTTATCTCTTCCCCACTGTACTTGGGGGTGGGGTTCCTCTGGTTCTTTTGATAACTGACAGGTGCTAGTTCAGCCCTTTTCCATATGACCTGCTTCCCTCCTCTTTCAGTTGTGTAGGTCCTTGATACTATCTCTCACACCAGTTCTCAGAAACAAGCCATCATTGATAATACACTGCAGCCTCCTTCCACCTATCTCATGTTTTAACTCAGGGAAGGAGGGAGAAGGGGACCTTCGGGTCAGCTATTCTAGTCCTTTCTCAGTTTTCAGTCTGACCACTAAGATATTTCCATTCAAAAGATAACTGACCCAGAGAGAAGTTCAGGGAATTTGATAAGAGTTGAAAGGCACACAGAAATGGTTAACGGGGAACGTGGTAGCAGAGCCCAGGGACCTGGAAGCTTCAGGAGGAAGACACTCTAAGGACATATGTCTGGTGGCCCAGGAGATCAAGGTATATTGCAACTTTGTTTTGTTTTACCTGTTCTAGCTGTGAAGATCCACATCTCCCGGAAGAACTGGACCTCATCCAGCATCTTTGACTATGATATGGACTCCCGGCTGGAGGTGCTGAAGCATGGGCCCCTGCTGCCAACAGAGGTCCACCCCAGACTGAAGCAGTGGCTGGAGTGGGATGCTACCTGTGTGCACAACCTCATGCGGGGCACTCACACAGGGGCCTACATAATCAGTGGGGAGGTCCAGGGCAGTCGAGTGGTAGTTAACAAGGCTTATGCCTGGAACAAGAGGAACCGGAACCTGCATCTTGCACTCAGAAAATGGAAGCACCACCGGTGCAGAGAGTAGGGCAGCCTCCTGGCAGAAGAAAAGTGTGAAGTCAGGTGCCTCCCTCATCCTGGGACAACAGCATACCTTCTCAGACTAAGGACTCTGACTGGAAAGCCAAAACTCTGGCAGGGAAGTTATCTTACTTAGATTCCTAGTAACTGATTATCCAAGAGGAAAATGACTTGTTGACCTAGCCCTTGTCCATAATGTACACTGGGAGATGTGACGCAATCCTCATCCTGTCCTACTGTACTCAGACTCTGCATTTCAAACACATGCAGGTATGATGGAAGACAGACTGTTCCCAGACAGAAGCACAGAAGTACATTAAGTGATAAGCTAGCTGGTCTTCCAACTGACATAAGATGAATGGACATTTCAGATGAAGTAGAAGGAAACAAAGTAAAAGGCTGATGAGTGTGATCCCTTGGCACTAGGTATGATGCTAAAGTGGATGCTGGGAAGGGGCCAAGCTTCCTAACAATGCAACAGATACCTTCCCTGCTCAATTCCTCCCACTGCGCTGCTGCCTCCCAGATATCTGCTCCCAGAATCCTTTGTGGGCCCCCACCTTCAAAAGCCTATTGTTACCCACATTTCTTCACTGGAAGAGCAAGATGGCTCTGAAAGTAGAGAGAAGAGAAGTGGTAACTCTGGCCCTACTGAGCTCTGTCCCTGACAACCTACTGTCTGCTGGCTGTGCATTTTCTTGAAATCTGAGAGCATTTTGAAAAGATCTCCATGTCTATCCCACTCAGTGCTCTACAATCTGAACATACTACAAACACTTCAGAAAGGGCCCCAGAGATTTACTTGGTAGATCTTTCTGAAGCCAGAATCAATATACCAGGCTCACCAAATCAGGATATAGTCTTCTTGAACTTTGCTGAGCCTAAGGCTCTTATTGGAAACACTTCTAAAAAGACCTCTGGGATAGTCAAGACTTCCACGTACACATCTAGGGTAAGCTGCTTAAAACCTAAACTAATATTCACCCGTAAAATCTAAGTCTGTTACTTTTAGGTCTCTAGGATTTATTATGAACACATTCTTCTCATGATATATGTCAAACTGTCTCTGTTTAAACTAGAGGGAGGGAAAGAGAAAGGAGGAGAGAGAGAGAGATCTGGCAATCTTGTAATAAGCCAAACACGATTTTTAAAATAAATATTTCTTGTACATTAGTGATAATTATCTTCAATATTTAGGAAAATAAAAAATAAAAACATGACCCAATGAGAAAGACATTCAACATGCTCCAGCAGAAAATTTGGTCAAGGGTCCTTGGTATTCAAAGGATATTGGAACAGGAAAGGCATGTAAAGGGTAACAAATCCCTCATAAGAAACCCAGCCAAAGTACATGAGATGGCATAGGACTGATGGCACCAGATTGATAAATATTAAGCTGCTGCTCAGAGAAAGAGGCCTATACCTTTCAAACAGAATTTTAGAGGGCCAAGCATGATTAATTTTACTTCTATTTCTGAAATGTCTAAAAGGGGGAAAAAACTCTTTAACACCAGGAAAATGTAAATATTAACCCTCTGAGTATTTATTGAGTGCCTATCAGTGCCATGGGTCCTGTAAATCATAAGATAACAACCCTTCCTCATAAGGAACTGATCAACTGAAGCAGGAGGAGGAAAGATTTGGCCAGCTACACTGGGGTTCAGGCTTTGATAACAGTGTGAGATAGAAAAGGAGGATCTGAGGGCTAAAATAAAACAATGTTCTTGCAATGGTGAGAGTTCTTAGATCACGTAAACTCTTCTCAGGGAAGTGGTGGCAGAATTGGGGCATAGTGGAAATAGTTAGACTTGCAGTAATATGTCTCAATTTGAGCCCCTTAGTAGCTATATGACCTGGGGCAAATCATTTTACTGCTCTGACTCAGTTTCCTTTTCTATAAAATAAGGACAATACTACTCACATTACTGATATCACAACATTGCTGTGGAGGTCAAATGAGATAGTGTATGCAAAGCACATATGAACCTTGAAGTGCCATATAAATGTTGACTTTTATATCATTCTTTGGAAACAGCAAGAGGTGAGGCCCTGGGCACATTCCAAGATAGCTACCTGATCAACTATCTTGTTTCCTCTCTTTGGGATTTACCATATTTGGGATACTGACATAGCTCTCTGATTCACTGAACAAGTCCTCCCTGTTTCCATTTTATTTCAATATCAGCATTACTAGAAAGAAGAACCTAGTTGCCTAGCATTCTGGGAGATTTGGGGCTGAGAGTAGCAGGGAGGGAAAAAACTGAAGAGCCAAACTCCATCACTGCCATCAATGGGGCATTGGATATGTGGCTCAAGCTCATCCTCTCCTCCTGTCTCTTTTTACTGCTGATAATGTATCCACAAAAGGCCAATAAAGGATGGGCTCAGGTGCTTCCTGATACCAGGTTCCAGGTTATTAGGAGTTTCCACAAAAACATCACTTAGCTGTGGCCAAGAAACCACCACTTAGAGCAGAACCAGGAGAACATTGTACGTAGAAACAGCAACACTGTGTGAGAATGAACTTTGATAGACTTGGCTCTTCTCAACATACAAGGATCTAAGACAATTCCAAAAGACTCATGATGGAAAATCCACATCCAGAGAAAGAACCATGGAGTCTGAATGCAGATGGAAGCATACTATTTGCTCTCTCTCTCTCTCTCTCTCTCTCTCTCTTTTTTCTCTCTCGTGATTTTTCTCTTTTGTTCTGATTCTTCTTTCACAATATGACTAATGTGGAAATATATTTAATATGATTGTACACGTATAGCCTATATCAGATTGTATGCAGTATTGGGAACTGGGAAGGGGAAGGGAGGGGGAAAATTTGGAACTCAAAATCCTATAAAAGTGAATGTTAATAACTAAAAATAAAAAAAAAGAAATCACCACTTAGACCTTTAAGGGCTGAAGAAGCCCCATTTGTATTTTCCTCCCCCATGCTTATTCTTCATTCTATAGGTCCCAATGGGCTAGAAGTCAAGGCACACCACAGCTGGGTTTCTAGATCAACTACCTTAATAGAAGATGTTCCAGTAGGTCATACCTAAAGATTAGAGTGTTAAGTCAAAAGATTTTCAACATGACTAACCCAGAGAAACCATAAGGTGGGCCATTACTTAGCCTGAACATTGTGTTTGTTCATTCTCTTGGTTATAACTTTTCGCAGGACCTTCTCCATTTCCATAGGCTTTTCTCCCCACCTACATCTTAGCCAAAACCTTGTGGAGATTCAACCCACAACAGGGTGACTAAAGCATTATTAAAAAAAACAACAAAAACATTTCAACCAAAATACCGATGTTATTTCTTAAAACAGAGTTTCAGATGACACATGGGTCCAAGTATATCCCCCAAATCACAAACCTCTGATCCAGTGGTGTAAAGGATGTGCTCAGAGCCATGGGCTCCTGACAGTTGCAGATCCCAGCCATTGTCCTGAAGTCCCTGAGTGCAAAAGGCCAAGACTCTCTTGATCACTGCTACCAGAGTTTGCCCATAAACCCTAGCTGTAGGAACAATGGTCCTGAGGATCTCAGGTACAAACTTTCCCCCTCACTCTCAGGCCCGAAGTTTTCAAAAAGCACCAGGCCAGCTAGGGTTTGAGTCCCTACTGAGGTCAGGGTAGGGAGGAGGGGTTGGACATGTTGAGAGTTTTCACAAGTTCCTCATCGACCTTTCTATATTAACATTCTATTCTATTCTAATTGAGGTCTAATACTCAAGTATTTGTAGCGCAATGCATCAGAACTACTAGAAAAGATATTTTATTCCTTACGAAGTTTCCCAGGGGCACTGGAAAGTAAATGAGACAACCAGCTTCAGGTCTTAAATGGAATTATCCAGCAGCAACAGTCATTTAGGAGGATTCTGGGATGATAAGCTAACATCCTGGTGCTGGTTTTATCACTTTACCAGCCTGTTTCTTGTCAGACACAGGCTGTCCAATGGCCACTATCAGTTCACTGGCGTAACATCATCCATGAAGATAGAGGAAACAAGAGACCATGATTAAACTGAAAGGGCAGGTTCAATTCCAGGTTACCCATCCATTCTCTGATTTTGGAAGGCCACAGAAATCACATTTTTTTTTCAGTTGATACTTAAGTATTGCGATGGGCAATTGTTTTTTTTTTAATAGCTGAAAGGTTTTCTTCTTAAACTCTTAAGAGCTACAATGATTCAAGGGTCACTCTGTATATAGCAATAAGACTAGGGATGGATGCTCTTGCTACAAAGTTTAAAAGAGAATTCACTCAAATGGCTGGAGGAGGAAGTTCACCAACATTTTCTGCTTCTAAACAACTTTCATCTCCTTAACACAAGAAATTTACTTTTGTGATTTTTTTTATCTGCACATGTGTGAGGGAGGGAAGGAGGGAAAGGAAAGTCAAGTTGTTGTAAACATGAATTTTCATAACTTTTGGACTAAAATTTATGCTAGAGGCAGTTTCACAAATATAAACTGTGATGGGTCTATTTCTATAGGGAGTTTTTTTGGTGTGTCCTTACCAAAGAGAAGAGGCTTCAAGCTGAGGGTCTTCACATCATGTATTTTGTTGGGGATCAACTCCACCTTCTGCTTGTAGCCAACCTGGATAACAGCACATTCAGATCAAATTAACACTCTAGTCACCCACCTCCTAGATTCCAAAGCCCCCTGGCACAGTGTTTTGTGCACATATTGGACTTAAATGTATAACATAGACAAAGTGCTTTGCAAACCTTATAACAAATGCTTGTTGAACTTAATTGAAAGTCACAAAATAGGGCTCATGGCACATCAGGCAAAAGGCCAGGGGAGGGGCAGCTAGGTGGCCCAGTAGATAGAGCACTGGCCTGGAGTCAGACACAGGCTGTCCAATGGCCACTATCAGTTCACTGGTGTAACATCATCCATGAAGACCTCAGTTCAAATCCGGCCTCAGACACATAACACTCACTAGCTGTGTGCCTCTAGGCAAAATCACTTAACCTCAATTGCCTCACACACACACACACACACACACACACACACACAAAAGGCAATGGGAGACAGTTTAAAATTCTACTGCAGAAATAGTCTTGGAAATAATCTTACTTCTCTAGGGGCAGATGGGATTGATATTTCCTGGGAACTAAACCACCTCATTGACAAGGTAATTGCTCTAAATTCTTAGGGACACTCACTTCCCTTGGAAAGGGTCAGAGAAGCAGAAGCTTTGAAAAAGCAGAGAATCAGGACACTACCACTCAAATGACTACTAATGGCTCCATGGTCTTCAGTTTCATGTTAGATACTCTCTATTTATCTATACTATTTCTATGTATGTATATACATATGTGTAGTATATGTTTAAGCATATAGTATATATGTGGTATATGCATGCATGTATGTATGTATGTATACACACATACATTATCTTTCAGGCCTAATACAATTCTAACTGCAGTTGCTGAATGGGAAGATAAGAGGAGGGGAGGACGCCTGGTCTCTAGATGTCATCTGCTCCCCCCCCCAATCTCATACCCACACCTAGAGGAGACCAAAGGTAGCAGAGCCAAGTGAAAAGCGCCAATCCCTGGATTTGCAGTCAGAGGACCCAAATTTAAATTTTGGCTGTGACCTTGAACAATCCGCTCCCCCTCCTCCAGCCTCAGTTTCTCCACCTATAAAACGAGGGAGGGGCTGAGAGCTCCGCCGTCCTTCGCAGCTCTAGACTCGGGAAGTGCCCAGATAGGTCGCGTGCCTGCTCACCTTGATGCCCTCCAGACGGATGAGCGGCGCCCCGAGGAGGGTGGGGGCTGGAGGGGCGGCCGGAGCTCGCGCGGCTGGGGCGGCTTCGGGGGCGGTGTCCGCGGAGCCAGCGTCCGCGGGGCCAGGCTCGGGGGACGCTCCTTGGCCGGCCCCCGGCCCCGGCCCCGGCCCCGGCCCGGACGAGTCCCCGTTGCTGTAGTGCACGAAGAAGAGCAGTGCCAGCACGTTACCCAGGTAGAGGTGAACGAACACCATCAGCACCAGGAAATAGGAGCGGGAGCATATGCCGCGAGGCTTGCCCCCGGCCAGGCCCGGTGGGGCCAGCGGGGCCTTGGTCGTAACCTCCCCGTCAGTCCGCCGGCCCAGCAGCGCCCAGGGGGGCTCTGAGGCCTCCTCGGCCTCGGGCCGCGGAGCTGCCGCCGCCGCCGCCATCGCGCCGACTCCAGCCTCTATCCGGTGAGGATGCGCAGCGGAGGGAGGATCGGGGCCGCTAGGCCGCGGAGGCCGGCGGGGGCGCCCGGGGGCACTAAGCCCCGGCCCCGGCCCGGCCTTGGGTCGCCCCTAGTAACCTACTAGAGCAGAGAAGCGGAAGTGGCGCTGAGCTGGCCCTCCCCTCCTTTTCCCTCCCCACGCTCCCCCCTCGCGATGGTTGCTAAGAGACGGGACAAGATTGAGGATGCTGCATTGGCCTCCCCCCGCCCCATGGTTGCTAGGAGATAGAGCAGCCCCCGACGTTGCTTCAGAGGACTCCTCCCTCCCTCTGCCCTTCGCTCCACCTTCGCAATAGTTGCTAGGAGACGGGTCGAGGTAGAGGATGCGCCGGCAGAAGCTCACTGGGGGAAGGCTATGGGGCAGAGATGGGCTTGTTTTTCTATTTGCATCCCCAGTGCATTAAGCACGGAATAGGGACTGGACCTGTGATTTCGTTGGCTTAGGGAACAAATAATTGGAAACGAGATAATATTTATAAAGTGCTTAGCACATAGTGGGCGCTTAATAAATGCTTTTTCTCTCCGCTAGCCTTCCCTTCCTGGCTGAGAAAATTCCCTCTACTAATGCTGGTCAGCACATTCTCCAGATCTACAGTTTTAAAGAGTTGCCCAGGGTCACACAGTGAACAATTTCCTGGCTTTGAGGAAGGTTCTATCCATTCCATTTCACTGTAAGCACTTAATACTTTTTCACTCTTTCCTAGTCTCCCATATACACCTGGAATGGACTCCCTTTGCCGGATGTCCTACTTTTCCTTTGTTTTTCTACACCCAATTCAAGCGCTGTCTTCTTTAGAAGCCTTCCCAGATTCCCTCACTCCCCCAGACCCGTTGTCTGGTCCTCTCCTTTGTACTTAAGTCATGCTCCCTAGTATCTTAGTCATTTTTATATCTGTCCTACCACCCCAGTAGACTCTATGTTCTTCCACGTTTATCTTTGCATGACTAGAACTGCACACAGCTCTTTGGTCTCAGTAAATGTGTAATCCTGGTTAAACTGGATTGTACTCTCTGAAACCAGTCCTTTACCCTACAGTTTCAGCTCCAAGGCCCTGGTGAATCCAACACAAGCATTCCACAAGTTTTCTAGAACTTTAACCACCCTTAATAGAGGGTAAGCTCCCTTAAATAGATTTTAGCTCCTCCACTGTTAAACATAATGCTCTGTAAATGGTAAGCACAGAATACTCAATGAAGAGTGAGTGGGAAAAGTGACTAAACCCCAACATGGATCTGCTATCACAGGATGGAGTGGCCCTCAAAAGAATTTGAGTTTCAGAGAGATCTACGATTTGTTCTTTGAATCACTCATTCTTCAGGTTTAGTTTCCAATTAATTTTTAACCTATACTTCAGTGGCCCTTCATTAAATGTAATTTTTATTATAGTCTGAAAAGGGTGCCTTTGCTATTTCTGCTTTTTTGCATTTGGTTGTGACGTTTTTATGTCCTAATACATGGTTAATTTTTGTCAAGGTGCCATGTACAGCTGAGAAAAAGGGATATTCCTTTCTATTTCCGTTCAGTTTTCTTCAGAGAGCTATGATATCTAACTTTTTAAAGATTCTACTTATCTCTTTGATTTTTCTTATTTATTTTATGGTTAGATTTATCTAGTTCTGAGATAGGAAAGTTGAGGTCCCTCACTGGTATAGTTTTACTATTTCCTGGTGGAAGGAATGTATTTAAGTGTTAATGAAGACCTTGTTGTTCTTCAGTGGTTTCAATCCCATGATTCTTCATAACCCCATTTGAGGTTTTCTTGGCAAAGGTACTCGAGCGGTTTGCCATTTCCTTCTCCAGATCACTTTTTCTTTCTTTTTAATTTTCCAGCTCATTTTACAGATGAGGAATTGAGGCAAACAAGGGTAAGTTACTTGCCCAGGGTCACACAGCTAGTGCCTGAAGCTGGATTTGCACTTAGGTCTTCCTGACTTCAGGCCCAGTGCTATTCATTGGGCTACCTAGCTGCCCCAACCTAAGAGTATGCCAATTCCTCCAGCTGTTTTGTGTGTCCAGGGTATGAGAAAACGTACAACCAGCATTGAAGTGAACAGGGATGGAGTATCTTAGAGAGAGAGATTTCTGAGAATGTAAAATGGAAAGAGCATGAAAAAAAAATAAGATGAAAGTGTTTGTTAAAAATTGATTAGGGGTTCCAGAAGGGAAAATGAAAGGGGAATGGTTAAATTGGATGGAAGACTATAGCAAAGGCAACACACTTTCTACCTTCGCTGGAACACAGTGATCAAGATAGTAGGTGTGAATTTCCTAGCCAAAGGGTGGAAGTAGCAGTTGATATATGAAAGGAAGTCTCACTCTCTAAAATCCTGAAATGAGGGAGGGTTATGGGGACACTCCCATGGAGCTGAGGTGGAGGCCAGAGGTCAGGATAGACATAAGGGTAGGTAAACATGGGGTGATTAGGTTCAGGGGCTGAGCTGGTAGTATTATCACAAGATAGCAAGGACTGAGGCATATCCAGTGGAGTATGAGACGGAAACACGGGTTCTAATCTGGCCGGGGCAAGGGCAGGGTAGCTCTGGCTAGGGAGATGGTGGTTTTGATGCTGGCACTTCCTGGTATGCATCAAATTTCATAAAGATGTTACCCATCAAAATGGCCAGAACAGATGACAAAAAGGCCTGGTGTACTTTGGGACACCAACACTGGCATTAAGGTTCCTGAAAAGCATGCTATTTCTACTTTAACACATACCAGACCTTTCTTACACATAGATCTGGTGGTCATGAAGCTGTTCAAAAATCTTTGCCTAAGATGTTAAGTTTAGAAACGAATCTAAACTTCAGATTATTTCAGTGGGCATTCAAGACCTTCTATCACATGGCATTGCCCAATTTTTTCAGATTATCTCAGATGAAACATCACTCCCTCCTGTACATTATACCCAAACTACCCTTTGGCTCTAACAATATGCTCTGCACCAAAGGCCTGGTTCCAGGCTGTTTGTCTTTTTCTGGTGCCCTCATCACATATAGTTATGGAACCATGTTGTACTGACCAGAGTGCTGGACTTGAAATCAGGAAGACTTGGGTTCAAATCTTGTCTTGCAGCTGTGTGACTTTGAGCCTTGGGCAATTCCCTAAAACCAATTTTGATCTGTAGTTTCTGCATCGATGTAATCACAGATCCTTCATGTACTGGTTACACTATATGGTATCTGAAGCTCAGGCCTAGATCTCATGCAAACTTTACAGCTTTTCCAGTAACTAACACAGTGCTTTGAAAGTATGAAACGTCAAGTAAAATTTGTTATGGTAGCACAGCCACAGCATCAATTTTAATGTCTCCAGTGGGATTTAAAAATCAGGATATAAACAGACGCAGAGTAAATATGTGCATGACACCACTCCATCCATTTTTAAATTATATCTTCAGGGAATGTTTTCTTAGAGAAGACACCAGTCATATTTCTTACATCCGTAGTCACCCAACTTAAGAACCCAGAAAACAAACAGGCCATGAATTGTTCACATAACCCACCAATCTAATCACTTTCCCCTAAACTATGGAATTCATACCATGATGATCTACTGGATCTTAAAAACGGGAATCAAACACAATATAACCTCAAGTTTCCAGAACGATTAGAAACAAGGTACCATTGACATACAGGCTCTCACAGAAGTCTTTCCCTGCATGGCAGAGCGGATAAACGGATCTTTTTTGACTCACATCTAGCTGGTGCAGTAGAATGTTGGACTTGGGAGTCAGGAAACCTGGGTTCCAAGGCTCAGTTGCTTAGTAGCTGTGTAAACACGGTCAAGGCATGTAACCTGGGCCTCAATTTCCTTATCTATAAAATGGGATAACAAGTGTAAATACAATGTCTCCCCAGTGCTTTTGTTACAGTTCTAGTTTACAGTATATGCCTTTATGTCTTTCATTTGGTTCTAGTTTGCTTAATAACCTATACCTAAGTGTAGTGCTTAGTGTAGTTCTTAGCACACAGCAGGGCTTCATAAATGCTGGCTTATACACTGACTGCTTTTATCAGCACAGAGGTGAACCCAGGAGTTCAGGGGTACAGGATATGGCAGGTTCTCTCAAGTGAAAAGGTTGTAGGTATGAGTCCTTCTACAAACCCTTTTTAGCCACAGCAACTTATGAAGACCATTCGCTATGGCTCAGAGGACTGTAATATGAGTCAGTGCAGAAAGTATTCATACTGGTGAAATCACAGCTCATTAAAAGTACCAATGCACCTACCTTTCAGAGTTGTGATATGAAAAGCGCTTTGTTAACTCTTATAGTGTTTTCTTGAGGGAACAGGTACTGAAGAAACCCTTGTACAAGGTAGCAAAATACAGTGGGTAACCAAGACATGGAGAGATGGAGCTACTCTGGTTCACACTAAATCCTAAACAGGTAGACAGGTAAGGTGTTACGTGCAGAGCTGGGGTGTCGTGGTTCCCAGGCAGCAATGACACCTCTTGCCTTGACATCCACCAAGCTATTAGAATTCTAGAACATGAGCTGCTTATACACATGAAGGACTGTTGAAACACATGCTCCTTCAGAGATTGCTTAGAAAAATGACTCCACACACAAGCCTTTTAAAATTAGAAATTTACAATTTATTTGAATAAACCACTAGAATTCTGGGAAACTTTTAAGAGCAGAGTACATTGCCCCAATTCATCTTTCCTCTCTAAAGGAAAACCAAGAGATGGGGCCATTTTATGGAAAATGTCCTGCCCTCCCTCCTTTTCTATCTCATGCAAAGCAGAGTCAAGAGTCTGCCAGATTCTCCCAGCTTTCTAAACTGCCAGAAAACTTAAAAGTGACAGCCAGCTAAGGTCTAGAACAAGCTTCATTGAAAAGAAAATACATTCTGTCGAGCACTTGATTCAAAGTCTTAAGGGCTCAAAGCTGTGATTATGGTACAGAAACCCTTTGTGGCTCCAGCATCAGTGCAAAAGCAATCTGTGTATATTTGTGTGCGTGTGCATGCGCACACACACATGTACGTGCACGATTTTGTGCACCAAGAGCAGCAGTCATGCAGTTCAGAGAAACTCCTTGGTGCTGCCTAGGATGTCAAGGGTATGTGATGGCCAGTGAATTACAAGAGCAAAGTTACAACCAAAAGCTCTAGAAGCAAAGCTGGGACCCATTAGGCCCTTCTAGTGCCACAAAAAAGACGTCACAAAAAGAAGAAGGTTCCAAACACTGGAATCCTCAATGTGAGGAAAACGAGGCACCCACCCCCTTCCTGTTCTCAGAAGGAACGCTCTTCTTATTTACAATTAGCTTATGAATGTGCTGTTTCTAGATTGATTCTTCACTGCCCTTCCCTCTTCCATAATTGCCTGTCCTCTTCCCAGAAAGCAGGGTTTTGCTTTTCAAGGAGAGAGATGGGGGAAGGGCTTACAGGTCAACCCCACCCAACAATACCCCTCCACTGTCACAGCTGACTCTCAGGTGTAATTAGGTTCACAGTTTACATAGCACCCAGGAAGTATATGCATAACTGGGTGTTGGAAAGTGAAAATGGATTGATGTATGCTCCAAAGGTATATTCCAACTCCTTTACAATCTCCCTAAAACCCTGTCCCTACCTCCAGGTGGCCAAGCAGAGAACAGGAGAATTCATTCTTAAACCCTTAGGCGCTGAGTATAACTGCAGAGATACAAGCTCTGCAAGCTCTCCCAGAGGAAAGCCCTGCCCAAACCCCTGAGCACAGCTGAACACATTCTCCTCTGGAGATAAAAAAGACATCAGAAGCTTTCACAGGAATCTTGTTATCTTAGATCTGCCTTCCCAAAGGCTTCCAAATAGAGGTTCAAAGGTTTCGTAGGACTGTAGGCCTACACCTTTTGTGCAGTCTGAGACTGGGAATAACCCTAAAGTTGGCATCAAATGCCCTCTGGAGTCTCAGGGATGCCTGATGTTTAAGGAAGTCATTCCAAAAGGAGAAAAATAGTGAACAAAAGCAAAAAGTTCAGATCAAAGTCAATGGGGAGCTTTCTAGAGTGGTCAAACAATGGTGAGCTGTGTCCACTCAAAGAGAATCTCAAAGCAGTACTAGAATTAATGTAGGTTACACATGAGAATAAGTCCAAGCCCCTTGCTGCATGCAAAGACAAGAAGGAACCTCTTGACTAACATCAACGGTAGGATGGGAAAGCTCTACCTGGAGAGAAGGAGCAAGTGGGCAGAGGTCATTTTCAGTCAGTCCATGATGACTCCAACATAGTACTGTCTCCAGTGTTACCCCTGCACAACAGGAGGGCCACCAAAGATATACCCATATTTAAACTTAACACTGTTCACCTGGATAGGCTTTCCATTTCTATATAAAGGAAGGCAGCAAGATAATACTTTCTTTTAAAGGCCTCCAACTCAGGGGACACACTCAGATGTCTGATATAGTCTGAGGGGCTACCAGTGGGTCCTTTCTTTATATGTGTGTTTTCATTACTGCTATCCTGAGAGTCATAATGTCTAGATTTTTCTCTTTTCTGTTTCTTGACCACTAAAACTGCCTTGGATCCTCTATACCAAAAGCACACAACTGGTCCTTGCTGGCCCAGCCCTATCTTTTCTCAGGACTCAATTTACCATCCCTCCCTCCGAAAGGCAAAGAGGGAACAATCCAGGTACACAGAATCCTTATCAAGGCATCCTGGTGAGAAACCATCAACATGGTTCTTCACTTTGGGAGAGGTCCTCACATGCTGCTGGCACCAGTTCACAAACATGCCCAAGAAGACCAGTACAAAGAAAGACGTAACTAAGCACGGGGTAGGCATGGGAAAAAAAAAATTCCAAACTGATAATGCTCAGTAATACAGCTAGAAAGACAGATTAAAAGCTACCCCTATAAGAAACATAACAGGGCATATCAAGAAAAATCCAATGTTGGTGAAATACCTCAGGATTTAGGGCAATAGGACTACACCTCAACCTGTCCCTTTTTTGGATTCAAAGTTTGGTGAGATTCCCCTAGCACCTAGTATAGGAAGAAGAGCTGCTGAATGCGCAGTTGACATGATCCAGCTTACAGTGCTCCCAGGCTCCTCCCCAGCAGAAGCTCCTGGAAGAGGTTGGCTGCTCTCTTCCCTGGGCAATCATAGCTGCTGCCAAGCATATCTGAGCAGGAAAAGGGGAGGCAACCCTAAGAAGGCCAATGTGGCATTTCATAAAGCTCAGCACAAAAGCAGTGTGGGTGAGGAGCAAATGTTACTTTCTAAGCAGAACATCTAGAGGAAAAAACACTCCAATGCCAATTTATTTTTTTAAAGGGTTCTGTGTTATTCTAGGGTTTTTTCTTTTTTTTTTTGTTTTGTTTTGTATAATTGTACAACCTTTGAAAATTACAGAAGTTGTAATGATCTAATACTATTAACAGCCATTCAGAAAAACTTTCCCTCCCTCCCAACAACAATCCAGGGGAAATTTAAAAAGTCCCATTGAGACGCAAATTCAATATGGCCTCTACCCAGGCACAAACAAAAGCGGAAAGATGAGAAGAAAACTGAAAGTGACTAAACTGGGAGAGCTTTGAGGGGCTGGGTGTTGTTCTTGGTCTGTGCTCTCCAGTGGCAGTGCCCATTCCATGCAATGATGCTGCTGTCCTTGCTTTCTCAATGCTCTCTCCCCTCTCACCCCGTATCCTTCTGTGGCCTTATGTGTCATGGAAATCCTTCAGCAGAGTCCTCCTCCGCTGCTCAGCTATGTGCATCTGATTCTCCAAGTCCTGAAAAGTAAAATCACACCAGTTCACCCTCTTTTCACCAAGACAAAATTCAGGTCATGTGACTAGGAAAGGACCCCAGATGTCATCTGAGGAGGAAACATTCCCTTTATAACATCCCTGAGCCAAGTTGTCAGCCAGTATCCACTTGAAGACCTTCAGTTCTGTGAGCCCCCTCCCTTGTAGAGTAGCTAATTCTATTATTGGACAGTTCTAAAAAAAGTTTTTTAATTAAAAAAAATCTTTTCAAAAATTTCGAGTTCCAAAATCTCCCTCCTTTCATTGGGAAAAGCAAATTATGATACTCATTATGCATATTAGCCATGCTGCATAAACAAAAACAAAAACAAAACACCAACAAAATAAAAGTGGGGAAAAAAAGCTCCAATCTGAATTCAAAGTTCACGACATTCCTAACTGTATGAAGTTCTTTACACCGAGTCAAAATCTTTTGCTGCAATTACTATCCATTTGTTCCTAATCCTGTCCTTTGAGGCCAAACACAAGCAGAAGGGAGACCTACAGAAGGGCTCTTCAAATACTGGACATCAGTGATCACATTTCCTCCTGGGTTAAAAATGTAAAAGCCATTCATTCTGTGAAAGGCTGGATGTAATACAAAGACAAAACCAGGATCATCTCTGGCCTCAAGGAGCCTCCTCTGAAAGCAAAGTTGTTGAATCCTTCATCAGTGTAGTGCCCTGAATGCCCCAGGACCAAGGGCTTCACACTGGACAATAAGCCTGTCTTGAGGGAGGCTTCTGAGTAGGTTAGCTTTTCAGACACCTATGTCATGGTGTGGGCTCCTTCAGCTTGCAGATCACAGATCTTTCTCACTGTAGCATTCTCTACCCACTCTGGGTAGAGAACTCTGGACTTTTCATCTTATTTGTTTAGGCTCATTGTTCTAAACCAGATTCTGGTGATCTCTGCTGTTATTGGCTATCTCTTATTGGGCTTCTGTACCATCTAATCAATCAGAGCACAGCATTCAACAGGAAGAAGAGTAACTTACCCCTCTGTCATAGCTATCTGCTCGCTCCACCTTCCATGAAAGGTTCTCAATTTCTGCCTCCAGCTGGGCCTGCTGATACTCAAACTACAGCAACAACACAAAAGATTGAACAGGAAACAAAATCTAGAACAAGGATCTGAGTAAGTAGCAAATGTAATAACACACAGCATGCACTTGAGAGCCCAATATATTATTAATAGTTTTACTGATTTGTACAAATAAATCTACTTATAATTTTGAAGTACAAAAAATTCATCTGGAATGTTACAATTTCCCCTTCACAGCTACCTACAGATGACAAGATGACACCTAGATATATATTTAAACTCAACTTCTAAATATATTAGCAGAAAAATCCAAGAAAAACTGGCTGCCTGTTACTCAAAACAATAGAAACTCTTCAAAGATAGGATTAAATACTACTGATCTCAGTGGCAGGAAATTTGTGCTATGCCATCAGGATTGATGCCACAATCATCTGAGTTTCTGGTATTATATTTCCTCCTCATTTCTACAGTCAGTCAAAATAAGGGATATACTATAGTCTTTCCCAACTCAACTGGGGCTCTCCAAGTCTAGTCTAGAAAAGTTCTTTGTGAGTTCACACAAAAAGGAAGAAGCTCTGGAAGTTACCCATCAAGGATAACAGAGCTCAACAGATGGTCCCTGCTCAATCTATCTTTTCCAGAATTCAGATAAAGGGCCAACACTCAATGATATTGTGTGCACATAGGAGAGAGAGAGAGACAAAGGAAGAAGGTGCTTGTGGGAAGTACTAATTTACCTCAAACAATCAGAGAAAAAGATGATGGGAAAAGGAGTTAAGAATAAGCTGTGGTTCAGGGCAAAGTCAATCAGGCATTCTTCTATAACCTAAGTCCTAACTAATCAGGAAGCTTAAGGTCCCTCCTGGTCAGAGACCGACATTCTTCAAGGAATTTATTTTATCTATCTAAAGAGAGAGAGAGAGAGAGAGAGAGAGAGAGAGAGAGAGAGAGAGAGAGAGAGAGAGAGAGAGAGAGAGGGAGGGAGGGACGGACAGGGAGAGAGAGACAGAGACTCCGTGTGTGTGTGTGTGTGTGTGTGTATGTACACACTGTGTATAATATATACATTGACTATATATAAATATAAAAATACACACTATAATACAACAGGCCTAGTGCATTACAAGAGTTGTTACTGACTCAGAAATAGGACTCAATTAAATCCCAAGGGATTTTTCTGGGCAAAATGCCAAGTTAAAAAAAAAATAAACAGTAAATTAATCAGACAGTTATACATTCAATCTTCCTTATAAACTAATCAAGAACCAGAGTTATATACGAACATGAAATCTCCAGAAAACATGAGGAGAAATGAGTTTGTTTTGATTAGAATGAGAAGAGAACAGAATCATCTTACCAGCTTCTTCCTAGGCCCAGACTCCATGTAGTATGCATATGGATACGTGTACTGCAGGGTATAACGACACTAACAAAAAAAAAGTTTTATAGGACTGTCACTTTTAATCTGTTTGGTTCCTCTTCTGGTTCTTCAGTCTTTAACCAACTCATATAAATTAGTTTGGATCCTTAGGCATAGGGAAATTAACTCGTTTAAAAAAAACCCACAACAACAAAAACAGAATGAAGTCATTATTTTCTTGGTACCAGTGGTCCCACCAATAGTGCAGGCCACAACTCACTTCCTACACTGAAGCAGTCTTCGCGCTGTGGTTAAAGAGCCAATAACAGAGCCAGCCCAGTACATGGAAAAGATCCTCGCTAGCTCTTGTTTGGCCCTTGGATAACAGACACATAGACCATCACTAGATTGGAACCTAAAGTGTTCTAAGCTCGGCAGGGCCTGCCAAAGATTACATTCTGTTGGAAAAGCCTTTGAGAACCCAGGATCTCCTCCACACCATAATGAAGCCCTGTAGGAGGAACTTAGTTCAAAGGAGGGTAAAATACTTAAGGAAATTCAAAATAAAAACAAAGTGCATCTGTACTGAATAACTATCAGATGGACCATCTCAGTAAGAGAATGTTGGTTCAATACAGGGCCATAGGACAGAATTTTGTTTACATGACTCCAGAAATAGTTTTGGAATACCTGGGGGAAAAAAAACAGTAGTTGGGAGTAGGGAACAGTTTCCACATGGGGGTTGAGTGTGCCTCAAACTCCCCTGCTACTACAATACTTAAGAGTTTGTACCATATAATCATTATGTCCTATCTCCTAATTTATTCATTGATGGACTGCTATAGGGAATATAAGCTCTCAAGTAATTTCATGTAAATTTTGTCTCTTTAAATAGCTTAAGCTTATTAAACACAAGGATCTAATTCAATTCAACAAACATTTGTCAAAAACATTTATTATTTGTAAGCATTTTCTGAATGTTATCATCTTCTTGTGTGTGGACAGAACTGGTGGCATTTTAGGAGGCTAACATAAATTTCAGTGTCTTCAGGAAGTTTTTAGGCAGAATTCTCTCCCTCTGCTGCCTGTCACCAAGACTTAGAAAGACCTGAGGTCAGGCTGAGAAACAGCAGCCTCACCTTGGCTAGGAGCTTAGCCGCATTCTGCAGGTACTGCCAGTCGATCCAAGTGCCCAGATTGTTCATCACTCTTTCTTGTATCTTCTCATGAATTCGCTGGTACGTCTGTGCCTCCAGCTGTAAGCTCTTATTGTGATTTTCCCACTGTAGCAGGGATAGAGGGAAGAGGAGGAATGGAGGACTTTTGGGGGGACGGGAGGAGAACAGACGGACTATGGGAAAAGGGGCAAATAAATGTCAAAGTAGGCAAGGAATGCTGAAGTGGCAACCAGCAGAACAGCTGGAATAAGGCACTGCCACACTGAAATAAGAATGCCCTTGCATACTCCCATACTGGAAGCAGTGGCGGCTTTATGTGCTTGTGAGAAGGGGAGGTACTGCTGGAAAACACTGAGGCTTCACTTATTAATCACATAAGGAACTTGAATTTTTCACCCACCAGAAAAAAATTACTTCTACCCCCTAGGTGAAAGGAGGTCCAGTGCTAAAGTATCAAGAAAAATTCTACAAAAATACCCAATTCTCAGTTCAAAACATGTGCTGGAGAGGCCTTCAAAAGAATAATTAATAATCCTGCTAAATGTGACCCTTCAGTGTAAAGTCCTTAGGAGAGAGAAAATAATTCATTTTGTAAAACTGCTACACAATAATAATTTCTAGACCACATACACAGACATTTCCTTGGCATTACTTATGGAGATACTACTAAGTCCAGTGCCATATACACAGCAGTCATTCAATAAATTTTTGTTCAATTTTTTGTTCATATTGTAAGCAGGCATACATGAGAAAGAAACAAAATCTGTGGTTTGTAAAAGGGCACTGACGGAATATCCGAACTGGAAGGAGCCTCAGAAGTTACCTAGTTCTACTCCTTCAGTTTCCTGAGGACAAAATTGAGGTCACAAGAGCCCAGGATTCTGAGCCAAAAGGGACCCTAGAAGTATCCAGGTTCTGAAAGTTAAGTGTTTGCCTAAGTGTACACAGCTAGTATGAGCTACTTGTGTCTGGACTAGAGAAGGGTGGTTATGAGAATGCCACAGACTAGACATGCTAAGATTCATAAAATTTAAAACTAGAAAGAATTTAAGAGATCATTTAGTACAACACCCCACCCCTCAACCCACCCGTGCCAATATAAAAGCAAAGGAAACAGTGGGCTAGAGATGCAGTGACATGGCCAATGTTACACAAGCACTTGGCAGTAGAATTGGAGTGTGAATCCAGGATCTATGGCTCCAAAGCCAGCACTTTTTCAACTACTGATATGACATAGGACTGTCACTGCAAGGCAAGTGGTGCCTTTCTTTCATGCAATTCAATTTATCAGCCAACCATGAACTTCCCCTCCCCAACTTTTTTTTTTAAACCATGGCCTACAAAGGATAAGAGACCAAAGATAAAGATGGAAGGAGACATACTATCAAGGAATGAGATACCATTATTATAATGTTCACTGAAAATCAACATCCTGGCTGACCCAAAATATTTCTGGGCAGAGTGCTCTAGGATCTGTGTTGCTGTTGATCGTCATCATGTGCTTCCTAGATTATACAACCTGAGCAGCAGTAGCACAAGTTCAACCTACTACAGCACAACAGAGGGCAATGTCCAGTCATAAGATAAGGTACCCTAGCTGCTCACAAACAAGAGTCTAGGGAATTTTTGAAGAAACCATCTTAAACCAACGTTAATCCCAACAGTTGGCTCCAGTTCTTTACCACTGAAATTGGGGTAACAGAAGCTCCCACATCTCTATAAATTCTTCAATGCTGCCAGCATCCAGCTTAACCATTGCTGGCAAACCAAAGGAAACTAAACTCATGGATGTGGGTCATCGAGAGGTCTCCTACCCTCTCAAAGTAGAACAAGTACTTCTTAAGGGCCTCCCTCGCCTGGGCCTGCTGACTCTGGTTTACAATATCAGGATTTTCTTTGTACCGACTGCACTCGTAGTACTCGCTGCCATGGGTCTTCCAGTCTCCTAGACACATCCAGCAGAAATCTGCATAGAAAGTAAAAAACAAGTCAATTACAGCAGCAAAGAAACTGCTCCCTCCTATAATGCCCATGGCAAAGGCCCATGACTTGGGAAGCTAAGTTAAGGTAAACCTACTCTGTGCTGCTTAAATTTCTGGGCACTCCTTTGCCTAACAAGCAGATGCAACACACCCCAAGATGCTATTTGGTAGACAGTGTCCCTGTGCTCACCCTTATTACTCACCTAGTACAGAGAGTTGGTAAAACAGTAAAATGGCAAAGGAGGTACTTCAATTCTGCTATGAATAGGCTATCTATAGAAACGATAGGCTCTAACAGCCTGCACGTCATCAACATAAGGAGACATCAGTGACAGGCTTACAGTAGAGATGAGACTTGGGGCAGCTAGGCTGTGCAATGGATACAGCCTTGGTCTTAGAGTTAGGAGGACCTGAGTTCAAATCTGGCCTCAGACACTTGACACTTACTAAATGACCCTGGGCAAGTCACTTAACCCCACTGCCTCATCAAAAAGCAAAAGAGATGAGACCTGCCACATACCATCACATTCTTTCACCAGGAGACCTAAAAATTTGTCTGAGAGCTGCCTGGATATCACCCTAACAATAACCTTTCAACAGAAACCATTAGGCCATTCTCCCCTTTTTTTTCCTTTCACACACACAATCAGGAGATTTTGTACAAGAAATCTTAGCATAGTGCCTGGCACACAGTAGGTACTTAAAAATGTTAAATGACTGAATGATATACGGACAACTCTGAAGTAGAAAAAACAAGCCAAAAAAAAAAAAAGAGAGAGAGAGAGATGAAAGAAAGAGCACCTTTAAGAAGGACAAGTTACTCAATGGACAATTTCATGAACAAGCTGGAATTTATCTCCATTCTGGGAAAGAATCAAGAAGGAAAACTCAGAAGCCCTTAGAAATGTTATTTCTCAACCCATGAATTTCAGGTCAAGACAGGATAAGTGCCAATAAAATAATCTGTTGCCTTCCCCTCTCCCAACAAACACTACAAACAGCCTGGCATTTTGGAGGGGTAAACAAGGGGACAAAACATCATGTGAGCAATCCATTTGACTTTATTCCCCAGTGGGAGTTTTACTCCTGAATCACTTCTGACAGGAAGAAGAAAGAGTAAGTCAAAAAAGTCTGTTCTACATGATTTGTTCTCGACAGAAGGAGGAACCATTTCCCAACTCAAGAGTTACATATAAAAATCCCCCTTTAAATCAAATTTTTATCAAAGCCGTAAAGAAATTAAGCAAGCTCAATATTACGCAAAGACTCTCCCATAGCTGGTCATGAGACAGCAAAATGACTAGCTCAAGACCAGACTGCCTTTAAATTGAATTTGGAAATGACCTTCTAGGTGACCTAACAAAAATGAAGCCTACAGAGGTGAACTGACTTGCCAAGGTCACACAGGTACTAAAAGTTGCAGAAGTATGATCTGATTTCAGCAATCCTATGTCACACTTCTTCACAAATCAGTGGTACTGTGCAACAATCATGGACAAAGAAGAACGTGGACTTCAACTGGGAGAAGTTTCAAACCAAAGCCAACAAATCTACTTTCAATCAAGAAAGATGGCATGGGTACTGGATCTGTTTGGCAGGTAATGAGATTCATAGCTAGAGGTCATAGGAAGGCCCCTATGACTTTAAAAAAATTACTATAAGAATGACACCAGAATGTGTCCTGATGTCAGAATAGTCACATTGCTAGCAAATAGGTATCCCCTTTTCCAGAGACAAGTGTCTCGACTTATGATTCTTTTACAGCTAGAAAAGACCACTCACTCCCTCATCTTACAGAGGAGACAGGAGAGGCCCAGAACAAGTAAAAGATTTGCCTATGATCACAGTCAGAATTTGAACTCAGGTCCTCCAACTTTTTCCACTACACCAACTTACGACCTACAATCAGAACCAAAATGAAGTCAGTGTTGGTCACTACTGTTCTGGTACAAACCACTGAGAAAATACCTGCCAGCTATTATGGATGAGCTCACGAAAAGAGAAGTAACAGAATCAGACACTAGAAAGAGAAACTGATGTAGGATCACCTGGATAAAAACAGTGAAAGCTTAAATAAGCAACTTGGTGCAAGAATGCATTCAAAAGGTTTCATGTGACTGATATACCCACAGTTTATTAATTTCGATATAAAAAGCGCTTCACATTGGCAAACATAAAAATAAACACAAATACCAGAAACAACAGACACCGCCACAGGGCCCAGAATGTGAGCTAAAGCCAGGACTTACCATGTTTACACTTAGAACATTGCTGAAAGAGAAAGAAAAGGGGAGATATTAACATGCATATTGACCAAAAGGTTTCGCATCACCAGTGATAAGCGAAATACTAGGGTTTCTGCTCACCATGTGATTGCAGCCTCCATTCTTCTCAATACAGATATTGCACTTGGGACACTGGGAAAACAGAATCGTTCCATTAGGTTCATTCGCTACCTTATGCTGGTTTTAAGACAAATAACACAAAACTCTTGGCACCCATGCCCAGTGGCTAATTGTGCAAGACTTCAGGGGAGGAAAATCTCACTTTAATGTGGTGGTTCAGTGGCTCAACAGGAGGTCACTGGTTCTGGAACAATAATTCCAAGGAAATGAGATTAGTATTCTTGGCTCTGACCCCCTCCCTCAAGCACCAGTTGATCTCCAGCAATTGTGCAATCTGCCAGTTAAACTGCTCAGATTAAGCTCAGGACTGAGTCAGCAGAAATGCAAAATCAGTTCCCATAGGAATGTAAGAGCTGCCTCAGAATCTATTAATCTTAATCAACTTGCCCAGAATCCTGCTTCCAGAACTGTCCAACAGAATATATATCAAATGTTTTCCTGAACAGACCTAGCAATCATAAATGTAACTCATTATATAAAAATCACTTCAGAACTCTGCCTACCATCTGAAGTAAGTGAAGTTATTGAGCTCCAAATAAAAGTCTTGCTTGTATATACCATTTGAATGAGCTCATAGACAGATAAATGACACTGGGTTAGTGACCATACCACAGGAAGAGTGACAAAAATTCAAGTTTCCCATGCATCTGCCCTTCCTTTCAAGCAGTTCTGGGAATTACAGCACTGTCTTGGAGCAAAACACTAATAAGACCCTAACTTCTCCCCTAGTTATTTCATTCTGCTTAGGAGTCCCCTTCTCCAAAATGTTCTGATGATATCTTTCTTGGCACTGTAAGGCAGCAGCTATATAATTGGTGGCTTGTCTGAGAAGAGAGGGTCCTAACTAACCCAGTTCTTCACTGCCAAGGCAGAACTGCCTATAAGGTATATTTATGAGTATTACATACTCAGTTTTAACACTTTTAGGCCCCCAAACTCTCAAAGGGGATGCCAAGACACTACCATGCTAAAGATGTCATTGTTAGGCCTGAAAAAGAATCCCCCCTCTCTTCTCAGCATACCCAATTAAAGCTGTAACATGACAGACAAAAGGAGGGAACTGGTAATCTTTTCTGATAATCACCAATGACAGGGTTGGTGATAGATAAGATAAAAAGCATCCCCAGGGAGCTGGAAGTCTAAACATTCCTTACATCTTTAGTGTGAGCACTAATGTAGTTTGCCGTTTCAGAGTCGTCTGCACACTTTGTGAGCCATTTCCGGATTGTGGCGCAGTCTGTAGGGGCGTGATACATCTGACGACACTTGAAACTTAAAAATCAGAAAAGAAAGGGATTCAAATTCCAAAAGTTCAGTCTGTGCTGAAGTCTTAAATCTCCCTTTTACCCACATCAGTCGCATTTGAGTTTTTTCAAAGGAGTAGTTTTGCCTCTCAAGGCTTCTGAAATCCTTGCTTATTCAATAATTTATTTAAACATTTCTTGAACTCTCTCTCAATCTGAATCCTACTGAAACAAATCCTCAAGTCCCTAATAAGAGATAATTTCCATTAAAAAATATTCAACCTTGGGGCAGCTAGGTGGCGCAGTAGATAAAAGCACCAGCCCTGGAGTCAGGAGGACCAGAGCTCAAATCCGGTCTCAGACCAGACACCTGACACTTACTGGCTGTGTGACCCTGGGCAGGTCACTTAACCCCAACTGCCCAAATGAATGAATGAATGAATGAATAAATGTTCAATCTGGTCTCAACCCTCTTTATAACTCAGAATTAACCACCCCTAAAAATTGAAAAACCCTTATTGACCATTTGGAAATCTTCCAAGGATAACCCAATTGTAGCAATTCCCTTCAGTTATAAGAACAGCCCAATCTTGGAGCCAACTCTGCCTCTCAATACCTAAATAAACACATCCTGAAACATGTTAGATTGATGATGACTTTTGCCCCTTTTGATTTCATGCTATAAACAGGAATCTTTAAACATATGTCTGTGTCAGGGAAAGAATAAATGTCATATAGGTCCCTTCTAGTTTAGGCATTTTATGGCTTCAGGAATTTTTTGGAATCTAGAGAAAGGACTATGGACCATAATTTTACATATCATGGAAAGTTATACCTACATCGAACACATAATTGTATGGTAATGAATGAAGAAAGTATAAAAGCACACATATTTAAAATAAAAAAAATTATTCCAAAATCTTCATCTTAATCATTAAGAAGCCAAGTGTACTAAAATCACCTTCCTCTGCTGGTAACCTATGGGTCCATGACAGATCACAAAGAAAACCCAAAATTATTTACTACCTGGAAAATGATTCCCCAGGCTATTCTAAAAAAATTTTTTTAGGATATACAATGAATTATTTGGATAAACTAATATCTTGACAAAATACTAATGTAATTAAATGAGATAAATCAAATACTAAGTATTATTAACACAATACAATGACTAGGAAGTACAAACCAGGAATCCAGAGAGATTTTATGCTCAGGCTAGCTATCTCTGTCTGTGAGTACCAACCCCCTATATGTAAATTTAGTATAAGGGAAGCCACAAAGAAACTATCTCTTATTCCAAGTAACTCAAAACCTTGAGGGCATATACTCATTCTAGTCATTCTTACTCCCCACCACAGATAAAGGTAAATATATTTGAATATAAATGTAAATATAGAAGTCCCTACCAAATTAAATAAAAAGAAAAGCCTCAATTTGTCTTGCTTTCCATTCTTGTAATAGTTATGTAAACTTTCAAAAGGAAATGAGTTTGGAGACACCCTTGGCTGGAAAAACCAAAGTTCCCTAATACTCACAAAGCGCCAAATCTTGAAAATGTGGATTTCATAACTGACGTAAAATAGCTCAAAACCACTATGCTAGGCTTTTCTTCCTTTTCTTAAAAATAAAAAAAATTACATAGCTTTTCTAAGTTCTTTTAGCCAAGAATTGTTGCTAATATACAAAGAACAAACCTATGGAGAATTTCGACTTTTCAAATGTTATCAGTTTGCAAATTATTATGCAAGTGCACAACCTGATCCCAAACACTATTACTATGTTCTACTTAGTTCTATCTCATTTAATTACATTTCAAGAAGCAGACAAGGCTCACAAAGGCAAAAGCTTATTGGTCCAAGTCCTCATGTAAGACACATGATTCATATAATCCACCATTAGACATCCTGTCCTTTGTGGCAGCACTCTACTTCCAGAGCCTTTGAAAACCACTCCCTAGAGTTCAGTGCATAACCCAAGGATCAAAACCTTTTTTTTTTTAAAAAAAACTAAGAATTTTCCACACACTTATGGAAACTACAGTTTTTTGTCTTCTCTGGAGACCACCTCATTCTTATGTTAACCATTCACCTACCTCAAAAATTAGAAAGGTTAAAAACCACAGGAGACAGGGAAGGGAGAGCTCTGGAGACTGGGCAGGAAGACCCAGGAGCACACATCTTACCAGAACACCTCGTTGCATCGATTGCACTGCACTCGTCGAGCTCTAGGCTCCTGTACCTGGATAACCATGGGGCAGTCTGCACCGGGACACAGCTGGAGCTGATAATGGCTCTGGGAACACAACAAGGGAAAGGCAAAGAATAAGAAGATCTGAGGGAGGTGAGCAACATACCCATCTAGTTTCTATTGGCAGATGATGGGGGAAGGACATGTGACCATTTCATAAAATGATATTTTCTTGCATGTGTTTTAAAACCTTCTAATTCTTTTAGGTAAGGTGTACTAATATGAAAAAAAAATTAGAATAGGAATAGGTAGGGAGATTCCAAATGAGGGGATACACCCTTTAACAATGCAGATCGGAACTTTGTCTGCAACTTCAAGTCTTAGTGAGCTGCCTCAGAGGAAAAGTGACTTTCTCCAAGTCAAACAGCCAGTATGTGTCAGATACAGGACACGAACCGAGATCTTCCAGGCTCCCAGGTCAGTTTTCTTTCCACTGCTCCCCTTTCCATAATGAAAACATCAATAATGTGAAAACTGGACATGAAGCAAGTTTATAGTGAACAAATAAAAACTGGACAATAAAAGAACTGAAAAAGAACTTTTAAAATTCAGCTTCAAAGAGGCCCCTGAATAAGAAAAGCCCTGTTTTTTTTTAATTCAATTTGGTTTTAGTTCTGTATTATCTCACTCCCTTCTCCCTCTCCCCCACTCTCCAAGAAGGCAAGAAAAACAACCTATTACAAACATGTAGTCATGTAAAATAAATTCCTGTATTAACCACATCCAAGAAAAAAAAAGAAACAGAAGAAAATATGATTCAATCTATACTCTTAAGTCCTTCAGCTCTCTATGTGGAGGTGTTACCATGTGTTATCTTGAGTCCTTTAGAACTGTGGTTGGTTATTATGTTGCTCTATCTTTCACAGCTGAATGCTGTTACAATATTGCTGTTACTGTGTACAATGATGTTTTGGTTCTGCTCACTTCACTTTGCATCAGTTCATCCAAGTCTTCCCAAGATTTTCTGAAACCATCACCTCCATTATTTGTTATAGCACAACAGTATTTCATCATATTTCTATACTATAACTTGTTTGTCATTCCCCAATTAATGGGCATTCCCTCAGTTTGCAATTTTTAGCCACCACAAAAGAGATGCCACAAAATTTTTGTACATATGGGTCCTTTCCCTTTCTTTGATATTTTTGGGGTAGAGACCTAGTAGGGAATTGCCAGGCTCAAAAGGTATGCACAGTTCAACAGCTTTCTGGGCGTATTTCCAAATTACTTTCCACAATAGTCAGACCAGTTTGCAGCTCTACCAACGGTACATTAATGTACCTATTTTCCCACATCCCCTCCAATATTTTCATTTTTTGTCATCTTAGCCAATCTGATGGATATGAGGTAGTACCTCAAAATTGTTTTAATTGGCATTTCCCTACTTTTTAGCAATTTAGAGCATTTTTTCATATGCTATCGTTAGCTTGGGTTTCCTCCTTTGAAAACTGCCAATTCATATCCTTTGACCATTTAATCAACGGGAAAATGGTTCTTTTGCTTGTAAATGTGACTTAGTTCTCTAGATAGCAGAAAAATGAGATCTTTATCAGAGAAACTTCTACAAAGATCTTTTCCCAATTTCTTTTCTAATTTTAGCTTCATTGGTTTGTTCAAAAACTTACATTTTATGTAATCAAAATCATTAATTTTACCTCTGTTTTTGTAATTTCTTGTTTGGTCACAAACACTTCCCCTAGCCAAAAATCAGACAGGAAATTTTTTCCCTGCCCCAGCAACTTGTTTATAATATCACCCTTGACATCTAAATCATGTATCTATTTGGAGTTTTTCTTGGTGTACAGTATGTTAGTCACTAAACCCTGTTTGTCTCAGTTTCCTCATCTGCAAAACAAGCTGGAGAAGGAAATGGCAAATCACACCAGAATCTTTGCCAAGAATCCCAAATGGGGTCACAAAGAATCGGATATGACTGAAACAACACAACAACAACTGGGGTTCTCTGAGCAAATCACTTGCAAAAAAGTAATAGTTTTACTTCCTCTTTGTCTATGTCTATCCATTCAACTTCTTTTTCTTTGTCTCACTGGATTTCTGGATCATTATCGGGTGTGGCACAATTTTTAGGTTTTTGCTCAAGGAGGTGTGTGGAAAACAGGTTATCTTACTCTATTCTGGCAACTATCTAGACTGCAAGTCCTCCCATTGTACTTTGTAGCTCATTTAGGCTATTATACTCTACGCTGCAATACAGTTATTGAATAGTATTATATTCCAGCATATCTGTCATTCATATACACATATGCATATATATATATATATGCACCTTCTACCCCTCTATAAAAGGACCATGTCTTGTTTTATCTTTGTAGCTCTACCACTACAGTGCTCTCTGTCCACAGTAAGTACTTATTAAATAGTTGCCAAATAAACAAAGATTGAAAGAAAAGGGTATTCCAACTGAAAGCCAGAAAATTAACTACAACAATCCAGTTATTCAAAACTTAACTGGATGAAGCACCAAGATGAGCAAACAAGAGGCAAATCACAGAAGGAGAAAATCAAAAAGATGAACTGGGTATATTCTAGTGAAAATAGTACAGGAGGCCTGGCTTTTAATTTAGTTGTATGTCTCTGAGCCTTTTCAGGATTTAGCTTCTTCATCTGTTTAAAAAAAAAAGTGTGCCACTTGATTCTACATAAAGATCTTCAAGGACAAAAATAAGTGTAACTTGCCTTTGTTGTGAGGCAGGGAGGATGTCAAGGATCATGACCCTTGTCTTACAGACAAAAACCTCAAGGCTCACAAAAACATAAGTGACTTGCCCTGAGTCACTCAGTAAACAGCAAATGACAAGTTACTTAAACCCAGGTCTCCTTGCTTTGGGTTCAGGAAAGGTATAAATATGCCTTAAAACTATTAACAATTCTTATGGAAAGGTTTTTCAAACTTATGGATACACAGAAACAAAAATATTAACAATAGATAGCAATGAGAAAAAACAATTACTCTTCTGAGAAACACAGGAGTGATAAAAACCTTTGAGCTTTGCACCTGCTGACACAACCTGACTCCTCTAGCTGCACCCACTGCTCTCTAGCCCCATGGTCAAAGCTCTAGAGAAGCGGCAAACAGAAGGCAAAAAAAATGCCAAGACTTCTTAAAATAATACCTCCACGTAGTCCCTGAAGAGGTAGCGCCTGTATTTGTCTTTCAACTCCTCACTAGGCAGCAAAGGAAATACAAAATCCTCTGGTGTTCTGAGAAGGCAGTCCTGAGCCATACAGGAGACTCCTAGTAAATACCAACACAGGAATAAATATGAAAATCAAATGCATCTCTTCCCATATAATTTGTCTGTATTAAAGGATTAATCAGTTTTCATGGGGAATAACAGAAGGTGAGTCATGAAGGACAACCTATTCATTTGTTACCAACCTAAGAATTTTCTCAAGTCTACAACAAAAAAAATGAAAGGAAATAAGATACTAACACTATGCTATACCTATGCAAACACAAAGTTCTCCAACAGTACATATACACCATTAAGCACTTGTGCTAAAAATTCTTCAGGTATAATAAAATAAAATGTATTGGCCCAACTGGAGCCTACTCATTAAAATGAGAACTCTCTGAAAGCAAAAATTAAAAAGTATACATGGAATATAAAGCAATTACAGGCAACACACAAGTTTTAGAAAAGCCAGATTTAAGTAGAGAAAAATGGTCCTGTATTTGGTTCAATTTAATTGAAACGGCAATCATTATCAGAATGAAAATCTGACAATGCTATTAATTTGGTTTCAGTAACATATAATCACATTAGAAGAGCAAGAACCAATAATCAAGCAAGTTTAATTTACATGCTGCTTTATGAGTAGCAGGAACATTCTCTTGGGGTAGCAGTGACGATAAATGTCTTTCTTATTCTTATAAAAACACTTACTTATAAAAACCACTCTTACAAAAGAAACTCACCCCACTACCTACAATATTCTTCCTAGTGTTTGCACGACCAGAATGAATTCTTAAACTCAATCCAAATGACAGTTAACTCACCAACTCCTACACCATCTTTTACCAGCACTGTACAATGCTGCTCCCAACAGCTTCGGCAAAACTGGTGCTGACAAGCCAAAGAGAGTAAATTTTCCTTTCGAACAAACTGCATGCACACTGCACAGTGATGGGAGGAATGTACCATTACCTGGGAAAAGGTAACAAACTTTTAGTCTACAAGACAGCTACAGACATTACTTACTAAAGATACATGATTAAATGATAACAGAGCCTTGAAATTTATTATCATACAATCACAAACTTAGAACTTTATTCCTATCACCTTCCTAAGTGAAGACAGGAGAAAATTATTTTAGGGGCAAGTCAAGATAATCAAATTATTGTTTTGGTGCCCAGAAGACAGAACTGGAGAACTGTAGTTAGTCTTAGACTCTAACTTCAAAGTAAGAGTCATTATGTCCTTCTAGGTCCTACACAAAATAGAGATTAAATCTGTAAACATTAGCCAATTCAAAGTTGTAGCTTTATGCAAGACCTTACAGGCATCAACAGCATTAGACTCGGAAGCTTGACATTAACAAGGGTAAGGTACATAGCAGAAAACAAGACTTGAAAAATTCTTTTTTCCATTTGCCATATTCCTCCTGATATCTGTCACGTCCCATTCCCTGTTCCCTTAGCTGTAAGACCCTGGGCAAGTCATCTCACCTCTTGGGGCCTCAGTTTCCTAATGGGATGGGGGAAGGGGAGGCGGACTAAATGTCTTTTGAGATGCCCTCTAGCTCTAGTCCAATCTTATTAAAAGAACATAATTTTATATATTGGTTTCAAAAGTTTTTCTTTTGTCTTTGTATGTTTTATCTTTCCACTTATATTACAAATTTCAAGAGTGCACAGAGAATACCTTTTAATTCTCTTACAACTTTCCATAATAACCTGGTACAGTCTCTACATTCAGCAAGCACTCAACTAGTCATTTGACTGAAGTCATCTTAGATGGACAGACCTTCTGGGTCAATTTCAAACTTCCACACAGTCCCCAGACCAGTTTCATTTGTGTATGAGAAGCTTTCTTCCATGGGATTCAAACTCTATTCATCAAATCCTCTTCTTCATTCCCAAAAGCCATGAATTAGTGCTTTCCTCTAAGTCTTGGTTCATGCATATTGTGACTGAGAGACAGCATCATGTAATGGGAAAAGGAGTAGATCTGGAATCAAAAAATTGGAGTCTGAATCCCCTATCTGTTACTTACTACCTGTGCAACTATTGGGCAAAAGTCACTTAATCTATCATAGCCTCAGTTTCCCTAAAAGAGACAGTGATGTACTTTTTTTTTTAACTTTAAACCTAAGGTCCTATGATTACATGACCCAGATTTAACATTCTGTCACAAACCCAAAGCAATATGCCAGTACCGCTGCACACTAATATTTATAGGTTGCCTAAATAGTTCCTAATACTAATGGGAAAATACTGGAGAACAAATGGCCTATTTGCCATGGTTGTTTAAAATCTCACTTCAGCAGACATCAGATGCTACTCTCAAAGAGTGTGCCTCTTCTACCTTTCTCCTAGGCTTTCATAATACACTAAAAACAGAATTCCATGATCAGTTTTCAAGTTTTAAATTATTTTCAATTTAAGAAAGAGGATGGGCTGGTCACCTAGCAAAAGGTAGTCATGCCCCTTCCCAGGCATATGGAAGAGTTAGCAGTTGGCACAAACTTGCTCCTATTTCTCTTCCCTTTGCCACCAGTGATAAAAAGTGTTGTGTGTGGAAATCATGCCACAGCCTTTTCTAGGATGTACCACTCCTTGCTAGATTTATTTAAGATTCATTCTTACATGGCAGGGAGATGATCTACTTAGAACTTGAAGACAGAGGGAAGCTCCCTCTTCCTAGGTTCCTGAGAAAACTGTAATAAAACTCTGAACTCTGCATTCACAAATTATCTGACACTAGCAGCACTCTTCCTGATACTTGTTTCAACAATGACCCCAACAGAGAAATAGATCCCAAGACCATGTGAAGCTCTTATCATTTCACTAGTAACACTCACACACACATCTTTTAAATCTATATAATGTTGTTTATTTCTTGCAATGACAGAAGAAATTATGTATGTGTTTCAGTGTTAGCTGCTGAATTTTGAGGATTTCTGACTGCCTCTTTCCCCCCACCAAAGCCTCATGTAACCTGGCTTTAATTCATGTACAAAATACATACTTAGGGACTATCTAAGCACTGTGGAAGATACAAAAATAGGCAAGAAATAGGACTTGCTCTCAGAAAGCACAGTCTAATTAGGAATAGAAGACAGAAGCACAAAACCAACAATACAAGGCAACACAGAAAAGTGCTAAAACTAGAGTGTGCTATAGGAATTAAGAGAACAACAAAAATCACTACTGGCTAGGAGAAGGGAAAGAATCAGGGAAGGTTTTGTTGCCTGTGATATGGATATGATGGATTGCAGCAGAAATGGAAGAAGGAATGAAGCAATCTAGCTAGAGGGGACAACATGAGCAAAGACACAAGGGTGGGAGAGTACAAGGCAGGCCCAGGTAACATTGAGTGATATGATTTGGCTGAAGTACAGGGTGCATGTACATAAAGAATGAAAGTGACGGAGGAAGATAAACATTTCTCAAAGAATGGCAGTAGTTTATTTCCCACTTGTGTGAAAAATATTTTTGTAATGAAAGATTAAGACCTGTATTTGAAATACGAAACATCTTTGGCATGTCTCACTCTAAACAAAGCCCTAATTACATTAATGATATTAGGAGTCTTCCAAACAGCAATATTAATGTGGGAGGAAGAGCTATGGTCCTGAAGGAAGGAGATACAGACAGTTCTCGTTTTACATAAATTCACATTACGCAAATTCAACTTCATGTAAAGAATTCTGAAAGAAATCCGCATTCCCAAAAAAAAAGGCCTATGTTAACTTTACTGTACAGTACTGCGCTTTCTCTCTTTCTCCCTCTCACTCCTAGCCTTCCGCCCCTCTGCTTGGAGCTCCACAGACTTCCACTCCCTCCACAAAACAAACAAACAAAAACCAAAGTAAAACACAAAAACCACCCAAAACAAAAACAAAAACAAAAAAACTTAAATAAAAACCTCTCCAAGTGAAAACAGATCAGACATGCAGAGAGAATGCCACCACCACCAGATTGGGGGTGTGGCATAAGACATCCAGTGCTCAGAGAGGAGACCTCTGCCCCGCTCCGCCCACCCACCTGTGTCCAGCCCCTGAATGTCTGTCTTCTATCTGTCTGCACTTGAGTATCGCGTGTCTGTCCCCTGCATATCACCACTCCCCTCCTGTCTGTGTATGTTTCTAGCCACCATATGTCTTTCCCACCTCCACATGTTCTTCCTTTTGGTTCTGGAAAGGCTCCCGCCATGGCTGGCCCTAGTGCCAATGTGTTCCTCTTCCTGTTCTTGCTTTTCTGTCCCAATCCCCACATGTCCTTGAACTATGTGTCAGTCCCCTCACCCCCATACGCATGCGGACCCCTTCCTGCTTCCTTCCCTCCCTTCCCCATGAACTCAGGTAAGTTCGTGTTACATAAAAATCGCTTTACGTAGAGGTCTGCGGAACGGTCCACTTACGAAAAGCGAGAACTGTCTGTACTCACATGTTTCGATGGACTGGGCTGAACTCGGGCCTCAACTAACAGCTGAGCAGAATTGGACTTGTGTCTAAAAGACAAAAGATGGGATTTTTTTTTTAACCCTTTAGGAAAAAGAAATAGGAACCCAAACATAAGCAAGTATCTTTCTCTTTAAATAAAGGAATGGGGGCCAAAAAACCTGAATAAACTGTACTGGGTCCACAGAGAAGTGACTAATATGTTTTTGCTTTTGGTTTCTAAACTACTCCGAGAAAAGAACAAATTTTCCTCCCTTTCTTAATCTACTGTGCTTTCAATTGGCGTAACAAGCTTTGCTTCCCTATACGCTAACCTGTAATGAGATACTGTTTGTGAAGGACTTTAAGTATTCTGAGATAAAAACCCCATAGAAAGTTAGAGTCTCTATATTTAATATTATGAATCCAAGTAGAGGTAGAATCATTCCTAACAGATATCATTTTTGTAACTTATTTAGGTGAAGATGCCCTCTTTCAAATAGAAAACTGAGAACCACTCCAACAGAGTTACTGGTTTTATTTCCGTTTTTAGTAACTCATCACATAAGGTCAATGTGATCTGTCTGCTAAAAAAAAGTTAACATAGTATCAATATACATTAGTATGGTGTCCTGATCACAGGAAATGGCAAACCCAATGGTACATGCATCTAGAATGGCTGTGAAGTTTTAGACACTGTACTTTAAGAGGGACATTGGCTACTCAGAGTATGTGCAAGAGGGAACTGGGAATGATGGTTATGGTAGTGCCTAGGCAGAGGGTGGGTAACTGACTCAAATCAATGCCATATAAGACAAGGTAGAAAGAAACAGTATTTTTTTGCAGGGAAAAGACAAAGAAAAGACATAAGAGTTGGGTTCGAATATTTGTAAGGTTGTCAAGTAGATTAAAAAACAAATTCTTTTGTATGCTGTGGAAGGCCAGACAAGAATAAATGAGGGGGTAGATTCCATCCAAACATGGGGAAGAAATTCCTAGCCAATGTAAATGGAGTTGTCCAACAGTAGAAGAAGCTATCCCAAGAGATGCAAGAATCCCTGATTTAGGGAGAGAAGGAACCTAAGGGCATCTGGTCCAGCTCCTTTTCCATTTTATAGATAAAAATAATGAGGCCCACAAAGGCGAGTGATAGAGGTACAAAGGAGTAGATGAGGGACTTGACTCCAGGTTCTCTGATCCCAAATTTAGTGTATTTTCTTTTGCAATAACATTTGTCTTCATCAGAGGAGCTTAAGTATTAACCAGAAGGCCAGTTACCAAAGATATTTTACTGACTGACTGACCTCTAAGGTCCCTTCCAACTTTATTCTATGATTCGAAGTATCTTCATTTGAAAAGCCTCCAAGGGAGGCTACTACACCTAGCATTCTACAAAGACATAAGCAGCCAGTCAGTTAACAAGCATTTATTAAAGGCTTACTATGTGTCAGACACTATGATAAGTGCTGAGGATATAAAGAAAGGCAAAAACATGCCCCCAAAGAGTCCACAGTCTAAGGGCCAGATTATAAAGAACTTGAAATGCCATACAAAGGGCTTTATATTGGATTCTGAAGGGAATAGGCTTGACAGAACCAAGGACCCTGTAAATGGAATATATGTTATCTGCCATCTCTGGATCCAATATGGATGCTCTGGTCACTTTCTAATAAAACAGGCCAAACATTCTTGCCAGCCACGGAAGAAATGGACTTCTGCTCTTAGGGTGGTACAGATAAAAAGTAAAATGGCACTTCCAACAACAATTTCAAAACCTGCCACTTAAAAAGAAACACCTCCAAGAATGATTTTCTAGGTACTAAAGGAGAATGTAGCTGTTGGTGATAACTTTGTTTTGTAAAAAACAAACTTACATTTTTCATTCATTCCTTCACCCAAACACTTACCTTTCCAATATCTCTGAGACTTGCCAGTGGAAATTAACTAATACAAGTTTAGCCACTGAATGAGACACCTAGAAAGAAAAAAGAAAAGGAATCACATCAGGGCTACATCTTTCTAAGAGTACTGAATACTTCTAGATGTATATAAATTAACTTCTTGAACCCAGAAATCACATAGGCAATGCGAACAATGTTAATGTCTGTCACAGCTCTGTCAGCACCACAGAAGAAGAGAGGGTGTGGTCAAGGGGCAAAGAATCAAGACCCAGATTCTTATTTTCAACTACACTAAGCAATGGTTTCTTAAGAGCCTGCTGCACACAAGGCATACTCCTTAGCTTGGTCACTCTCCTTCTCTGGCCCTACTTGTTCTGTAAAATTGTGCAATCTGATGAAATGACCTTTTAACTAATAGTCTATAAAGTCTGAAGGAATCTCTCTTAGAAAACCCAACCATCACTTTGGGTAACTTTAAATGTTTTTATTATAAACAGTAACCAAAAAAATACAAAAATAAGGTGGGGAAAATCTTCTATAAAATTTTCAATGTCTTAACCAGATGAAATAACTAAACAAAAAAGTTGTGCTTACTTTGTGCCCATCTCCAAAAGCATGGATTCCTGTTACCTTTGTTTAAACATACGCACAAGTGTATGTATATACACATACATACATATGAACTCAATATATTTATCATTTTAGTTCTGCTGACCTTGCTTTGCATTACTTCATATAGATCTATTTTCTTGCATTTTTCATATGTATTTTTTGTTATTTTTTTTAAACAGCTAACATTTAATTAGCATTTAAAGTTTGCAAAATGTTTAACAAAGATTATCTCATTTCATCCCCCAACGCCTGTGGGATATAGTGCAATTATCATCCCCATTTTACAGATAAAGAATATCAGGCAGAGGGAGGTTGAGTGACTTGCCCAGGGCCACGTAGCCAGTAAGTATCTGAGGCTGAACTTAAAACTCAGGTCTTGCTGACTTCAGGCCCAGTACTCTACCCATTGAACTGCCTAGGTTTTTTTGAGACAGGATGTCATAACTGAGAACTGACCTTGAAGCCACCCAGTTACACCTGCTGAATGACACTGGGTGGGTCAAGACAACTCTCTAAAAGGCTTAAATTTCAGAGAAGGTGCCAACTTGCACTGAAGAAGTTTCCTCATCTGGTAGTTCCTTTTATCAATGAAATTATAGGTCCACAGTCCCTACCTCAACTAATATTATTATATTCCATTATACTAATATACATAATTTATTTGGTCATTCTCTAATCATTAGATACATTGGATGTTTCAGTACAGATAACTTCTGATGTGATATTTACACACTGAAGATCACATAATTTGACTCACACACAGATAATAAGATGACTGATTTTTATACAATCATAGACTCACTCACAGGACCTTAGAGTTTGGGACTTCAAAGAACCTCCAGTCCATTTTACAGATCAGGAAACTTACCTTCACAAGAAGGCAGTACGATTTAGTCAAAATCATTTGTTTTCTAGGACTGTACATTTCATAAGTATAAGAACATAGTTACAAGTACTCTAAGGAACCATCAACTTAAGAAACTTAAATGATGCAGTACAATAAATAACAAGGTCAATGAAGAGCTCTGGCCTTTGATATTTAAAGTCTTCCCAATTCTTCAAGTCCTGTCTCAGTTGTTGCTTGTGTACAACTCACATTTCACAAACCTCATAAAAAGATTGCTCAGATGTCTTCAGAAAAACCCAGGAAGACTTATTTAACTGACATAAAGTGAAGTGAGCAGAACCAGGAAAGCACTGTACAGCAACACTGCACGATAATCAACTGGGAATGATTTAGCTCTTCTCAGCAATACAATGATCCAAGACAATTCCAAAGGACTTATGATAAAAAACAAATGCTATCCACTTTCAGAGAAAGAACTGATGGAATCTTAATGCAGATGGAAGCATGCTTTTTTTAAACCATTTTTGTGTTTTCTTTTACAACATGACTAATACATAAATGTTTTATGTGACTGTACATGTATAACCTTTATCAAACTGCTTGCCTTCTTAGTGAGAGGGGAGGAGGGAGGGAATTTAGAGCTCAAAATTTAAAAAAAATTTTACATGTAATTTGGAAAAAATAAAATCTTTAAAAAATAAAAAAATAAAAAAAAAGATTGTATCCCTCTTCTAGACACAAAATAGTGGCTAAGAAAGTAACTTCAATGAATTGTACAGCTAAAAAGACACTAATTAGGAATCTGGGTGCTTTGTTTTTGAAATTTAAAATACAATTCATTTACAAATAAGCAATAGGTGTGAAAACAGAAGGCAAGCTTTTCACAAGTACTTGCAAAGTTGATACAGCTTGTGAGAAAAGTACTTTAAAAGCCTTAAACTGTTATAAAGTCAGTTATTACTTTTTAACACACAGAAAACATGATAGCAGAATGAGGATTTGAACACAGGTCCCATACCCCTGAATCCATACTGCTCTATCATATGACGATGCTTGTATCATGCACTACTACCCTGTTTCCAGGGGGTAGTATGTGAATCAATTATTTACATTTACAATATTTACATGTATATCTCCCCTTAATGTACGTATATATGTATGAGTGCTCTTACTTTTTGACCCAGAGGTCTCAGTCCTGGACACATAACCCCAAAAAGTTAAAGACAAATAGGCCCCACATTTAACAAAATGTCAAAGCAACATTTTTTTGTAGTAGTAAAAATTTAAGGGAGAATGGAGAAAGGGAGAGGTACCTTTCGAAATGGTTAAAGAAACCGTGGTATGAGAATGTAATGGAATATCACTGTACATTCAGAAATGACAAATAAAAGGAATTCAGAGAAACATGGGGAGACTTGTATGAATAAACAGACATTAAAGAGAACAGACCTAGCAGAGCTATGTACATAAAGACAATAATGCAAACAAAAATGACACTAAGATAAGGTGTAGCAACTAATTTTAGTCCTACAGAAGAGATGATAAAATACATTTTTCTCTTAGTGCTGCTAAGACCAGTATCTGAGAGGGCTCCCTCCCTCCCCAACATGTCTTAAAGAAAGGAGACAAAGCCAGGACTTGACTGGCTCCAACTTGACACAGTCTCTTGGGGGACCTCTGGCTGTACTGAGGCAACTTCCTGATTACTTAAAGCTTTGAACTCCTCAGGGTTGGTACCCCTAAGACATGGTGGGTGTCTGAAGACACAGAGAGTCACTATACTCTGCCCTGCTGACCAGACATATCTCATATGGAAACAAGGGAAGCTTATGTCTTTCTGCATCCCTGTTGCATAGCCTTTCTATGTTAGAGCTAGGTAAACCTTAATTTGTTAAATGTTCAATGGCAGCATGCAAGGCAACAAGCATTCTTAAGCACTTACTATGTGCCAGGCATGGTTCTAATTGCTGAGGATAGAGATAGAAGCAAAAAATAGACAGTCTCTGTCCTCAAGAAGTTTATATTCTAATGGAGGAAGATAAGACATAAAAGGGAGCTGAAGGAGGAGGGGAGGAGAAATTATCTTTGAAGGGGCAATGCTAAGGTTGGCATGGTGGAGGGATGCTGTAGGGTGAAAGGCCACAAGGAAGTGAGAGAAGATGCAGAGTAAGAAAGTAGCTGAATCATGGTGGCAAAGTCAGATGAGTCAGAAGCACAGCGAAGAGGAGAAAGGCCCAAGAAGTGTCCTATTTCACTCAAATATCAAATCTGAACAGGATACAATGTCTGGACTCCTCCTTACCTGTTTCTTGGTATAGAGGTGTGGGACTCACTCCCTGGTCATTTTTGCTAAACTCTTTTTCTTTGTTACTGGGGAGAGGGGCTTTCACAGGGGCAGGGCTAAGGGTTCTTAATCTTATATCCATGAAATATACGTACATAATGCACATACACACATGTATATCAATAACTGTGTTTCAATATAATTAGTTTCCTTTGTAATCCTATGTATTTTATTTTATGCATTTAAAAACATTCAGGAAGGGATCCATAGATTTCACTAGATTGCCAAAAGGATCAGGACATAAAAAAGCTTAAGAACCCCTGGGCTAGGTGGTGGAAAAGAATTATAATGGGAAATAACTGTGATGTAAAAAACAAAAGGCATCAATAAAATATTTTTAAAAACCTACCAAAACAGGACAATGGAAGGATATAACTGTTTTAAAAGTAACAGATTAGGTTTAAAAAAACAAAACAAAACAATGGAATGGTACTGTCCAACAAGAAAATCTATTCTTCTCCCTGTATGGAAATTCAGAACCTCAGGAGAAATCATGGTAGTTAAGTATATAGATGAAGATGAAGGAGAGAAAAACAGAACATGAATATATCACCAAGGGAATGTCTCCAAAGTCCCTACCCTCAATGAGTTAACATTCTAATGAGATTCTAGACTTACATATATAGATAAAAATTAAAATGTATTTTGATGAGGCAAAGAATATTACTACTGAGGAAATCAGTTATGGAAACCGGTTTCCCATATAAGGTGAAAACTGACCTGAGCCTTAAAGACAGCTAAGGTTTCTAAGCAGAGACAAGGAGGGATGAATTCCAAGCATTTCATCTTAAGGAGGGCAATGTTAGACATAAGCTGGCAAGTCAGGAAAATACCAAATACAAGGTATACTCGTGTTTCAGTCAGGCATCTAGCAGTCTTTTAAGACATGGTAACACATAAGACAGCACAGCTGCAGTGGTGAAAGTGCTAGATTTGAAATCAAGAGGACCTGGGCCTCATTGTCCTAACTGGAAAAGTGAGAGGGCTGGAATGTATGGCCTCTAAACTCTAAATCTGCGATGATCTGAACCTCAGGAGACACTGGAGGACAAGATAACAGTAAAGCTAGATGGACCCAGAACTTGTGGAGTGACTGGATCTGACAGGTGATCAACGGCAGCCTGGAGGGAGGTCTTCAGGGTGTCATGAAAACTCTGCCCTCACTTAGGCTGTGATCAGCATCTTTATCATTGACTTGGATGAAGATATAAATGGCATGTTATCATACTCAAAGATAATTCAGCATTAAGTTAGAGAGCTAACACAGAATC